CATTGAGTGCGGTCGGTTAGATAACTCTGAAACCAGCAAATGGCATTGTGACCGAAACGAGACACCAACATAACATTAGACATAATGTGGTGATCTACAGTGTCAAATGCTTTGGCTAGGTCAATAAACAATGCAACACAAACTGATTTCTTATCCAAAGCAGCCTTAATATCGTCTAAGACTTTCAGACTGGCAGTCACAGTACTGTGCTTTGATCTGAATCCAGATTGCATAGGGTTAAGGATGTTGTGTGAATTTAAAAAAAGTTTTAGCTGAGTAGAAACAAGGGACTCAAGAATCTTTGATAACACAGAAAGATTTGAGATAGGACGATAGTTATTCAACTCCGTGGGATCACCAGCTTTCAAGAGGGGCGATACCAGAGCTTGCTTCCACACAGCTGGCAGTGTGTGAGTGGACAGGGAGAGATTAAAAATATCAGTTACTGGTTGTGCTATAATCTGAGCTGCAATTTTTAAAAAGAACGGGTCAAGGCCGTCAGGCCCGGCAGACTTTATGTATCTATATGTAAGCAAAAAGCTTTGGGGGTATCTATATTAAGCCTGACAAAGTACTTAACGTTTAATATATTGCATGGTTTGTTTTGGGACTTGACAATCAACTTTCCTGCAATGTTAACTATGTTGAAGCACTTATTTTAACCGATATTATACATATTTATTATACTCTTATAAGATGTATGTAGATAGAATAAGAAATGTGCAGAATATGACAGTTTAATCGTGGAGGTACACACATATTGATAGATCTCTTGTTGAGGAACCTATGACCCAAGTTTGTCATCATTGCATAACTACACCGTAGTTGTGTATATGATATTTCAATAAACCTTTGAAAATCTTGAAATCTTGAAAGGGATGTGCAAAATAGCCATTATATACAGTTTTTGATGAACAATTAGAGAATAACGAGTAATGAATATGCTTTATAGGGATCTGCAGATACATTTTTTGTCTTCTCAAGAACCAACTATCAAATATCTCGCCTGATTGTTTGCACTTGACAATCACCTTCACTGAATTTTACTCAGGTGTAACTAAAGTCTGATTTAAGGGTTGTTTATATTTCACATCATTAATCCAAATAAAATAAATGTAGTAAAAATACCAGGTTAACCTTAAAGAAAGCCCTCAGTATTATAAAAGACCCCCATCGCCCCAGCCACAAACTGTTATGTCTGCTGCCGTCTGGCAGGCGGTACCGCAGCATCCGGACTAAAACCACCAGACTCAGGGACAGCTTCATCCCACAGGCCAGAAGACTATTAAACACCTGAACTTTGAAACAACATCCATAACATTCATCTGGCTGGTACTTAGAAATTATTTGTCTAATATATCATATTCCAATCACTTGCATATAGACTCTTATGGCTCTATTTCTAAACTTCGCGCACTGCCACTCCAACATCCAATCACAGAGCTTGAGAATAGTCCCAAACGATAGCTGAGGATTCTGGGTAGTGTAGTGTCTTCTGCCATCCTAAACTCCGAAAAAATATTTGTTTCTCCGAATCGAAGGGGAAAAACACAAAAGCATTGCACACAATTTAAACCAATCAATGTTGTGTAATTAACAAGGATAATCTGGTGTTTTTGAGTTGATGAGTAGTGCAGATATCACTGTCAAAAACAAGTATTTGGCTCAAAGTCACATAGTATCCTATAATGCTGGTGGGTTTGTCTCTTTACTGTATATTTTAGAAAGGCTCACTGTACTTAAACAAAATGACTCAGGGTGCATCTGAGATTAGAGGGGGTGCAGTGGTAAAGTGCTACATTTATAAGTGGGGAGTGGACCTGACACCTTCTAGGGGGGTCCGGGGGCATGCTCCCCCGGGAAGATTTGTTTTAAATATTGAAGTTAAATGCATCAATCTGGTGCACTTTGAGAGCAAAATGAAGAGATATGGGTACCTCTCAACATCCATATGAAACAGAACTGTAAACAGATTTACTTTTTCTTTATGGATATAAAAGAAAGTAAAGCCTGACTCCTACTGGCGGCTGGTTAAATGACTCCTCGTCCCTGAGTACACTCACCATCTTTCAGCAGGAAAGGAGAGAGGGAATCAATGAGAGACGGGAGAGAAGGCTCTGTGGGAGCTAGTGCTACAGAACTTGGAGCAGGAGGCTCGACCAGAGAAGGCTCCCCGTCAGACAACATTTCTAACACAGGCACAGCATTTCTGTATTTGCAGTCGGCTCATTGTCCGGCGACAACCGGCGGCATCTCATGACGCATGACGCATCTAGGTGCATCTACGCTGGGCATATTTGTTGTCATGCGTCATGCCGGCGGCTGAGTACCGGCATCTTACTGAGTACCGGCACCTTGCCGGTACTCAGTAAGAAGTGCCGGTACCACATGGGTAAAAATCAGAAGTGCCGGTACTGCGTACCGGTGAGTACCGGCCCAATTCAAGCACTGGTTGTATTAGTTTTCAGGGTTTGTTTGCATTTCATTTCATTTGTTACAGCTGTTTCCTGCTTATGTATGCGTTTTTGGCCGTTGTTCCGCGTTTGCACCTGCCGGCCACTGTATCTTAGTTTACCTAAAAGTTAACCTGTTAAGCCCGAGAGACCCCGGTACCGGGGCCCTCCCGCAACATCTTGCAGGAAACAGTGTCTGAGGGCATGTTCATTTAATAAACTATGAATGTTTTATATCCATGTAACGGGAAGAAACTCATCTAACTGATCATTTTTATTTATTTAAAAAAAAAAAAAACACAATGCTAACGCTGAGCCTCTGAATTAGCAACGAACGAAAAATGCTAACAGATTTACTGCACCGAAACTCACTCATAAAACCTTATTATTTATCTTTTCTGCACATGCAACCCATCGATCTGATCGTGAGATGACACAGAATCGATGGGTACATACATTATCACTCTATGATACGAACTCGCGACTTTATAAACAAAAACAGACATCAAAACATGTGGCGCTAGGTAGCTAAAAACGCTAACATGGCTTACCTGTGTCGTAGTCTGGTCAAAAGTGGTCTTCAATGGCATTAAAACGATAAAAACGCTGCTGAAGTTAATCCATAGGTTAATCCAATGTGTCTGTGTCCCTTTGAAATGATTTCTGATAATCCATAAGCAATAAAACTGCTTTTCCGTTTCCAGATGTCAGAGCTAGAGATAGGTTCGCTCTGATGCAAAATTGCATGCGCGAAGCCCGCACCTAATTTTTTTACCATGTGTGTGTTTGGGGAAATTCCCCTTCGATTCTATTGGCTCTAACGGTCAGAAAGAGATTTCATTCGTCAAAATCGACAAAGGGGGGCCAAAGATATGGAAAATCCACCCAAATGACCCCAGAAGTGTTTTTTTTATGCTAAATCTCTCTAAAAAGGTCAAATTTCACTTGTTTTGCATCAATCTTGATACAGGGTACTTACTATATGTTGTACTTTGGATTCCTAAAGCTTTTAGTCTACTAACCCATCATCCAAGGGTCGTTTTCACTATAAGTAAAAAATAATTTTTGGACGGACACTATAATTTACAGTTTTTTACTATGTTCAATCTGAATTTTCTTTAAAATAAAAAACATCTATATTGATTCTGACTTTTCTACATCCAACTCACAGGTTTATCATTACTTTGAGAACAAAGATTATTAATTTAACCCTTTTAGAAGGGAAGATATGGTCATTTGTTCTGGGAATGTCATTTTCAAGCCTGAGACCTGAAAAACAGGCTCAGGGCTTAAACTCTATGGAAACTAAAAATTATGAAAGCACTTGTTATTGAACTATTAATATTATATTAGTGGTGCATACTGTTGTGGCCTTTCCTGTTGTTCGTTATGCACACAGCAATTGTGGAGTTTCTTGAAATATTTAACCCCCCCCCCTAAAATAAAAAGACATCATACCTCTGAAAATATATTTGGGTTGGTATTACGATGCTTTACGACAGATTTAGATGAATTATAACAGAGTTTATTACTTCCATTTTGTACACACGTGTTTTATAGTCACGTATCATTTATGTAATATAAAGTTTATACAATCTGACTGAGATGAATTTCATTTCTAAATATGAATCAAGATCTGACTTCCTCCACAGGACCACATGTCTGATATAAAATGTGATAAAATATATATTAGTATATATTAATATATAAAGTATGTTGTGCTGTAATTTCCTTGCAATAGCTACTTAAACTATAAACTAGATATCTTTTATTTTGATGTTCCTTTGAAATAACCATACTGACCATACATGGACAAAAGTGAACAGGTGTTTTTGTTAAGTAGAATATTAAAGACATTTGTTGTAAATCAGATGTAAGGAAGCTCCACAGCAGTCCACTGAACCAGACCCTATACATTTATATAGTTTAATAAATATGAAAAAACATATAAACTCATCCTGTGTTCTTTGACATACATTACCCTTGGGGTGTTGGGTTCACATGAAGCTTCTGAAAAATGAATCCGTTAAAGGTTTATTTGATGTTAAAGCTGAACTCCTTTCAAAAAATGTTCTTACCAGGAACCTGTTTCAAGAGGGAGGTATAGACAAGTAAATGTATTTGTAACAAGCAAATATAATTCCTCCTCCATCACCATAATCACCTCTGAAATTGAGTAGAGTACAAAGTAGCATTAGGTACAATACTTGAGTAATATGTACTTAGTTACTTTACGCCACTCCCTATTGTGAACCTAAAATGTTGAGCACATGTAGGAATATTAGCATAGTTGCTGATTGTCAAATAACTGTTTCAATGGCAATGATTATCCATCCATGACTATATTTATTAAACAATAAAATCCAATATAACTATACCTATAAGATAGTCTGTTTAAAGCACTAATATACACACGACTTAAACAGGAAGATATTACCAGACATAATTAAACACATACCTATTAACATGCCATAAGCCACATGTAAAGACATGTTGCTGTGTGTTCATCAAAGGTAACACTCATAATGACCAAAAACAACCTCATTATTCATATTATAATCAATCTTTATTCTGATATACCTTTGAATGGACATAATAAAAATAAATCATAATTTAGCGGGTAAACAGAAATATTGTTGTCATATTTTGCAAGACAAGCTTTCAAAAGTTTGAAAGTTACAGATTTGAAAAGCTGTAGACCACACTTGCACAAATAAGGACTTGATTAATCATAGAGCTGGAGCGTCCTCCATGCCTACTGAGTACACTCTGATGCTTAATGGCAAATCTGACAGCATGCCAGGAGGATGAAATCTTCCATGACTTTCTCTGCTCCTTCAAAGTCATCTCCCTTCATTTTCCCCCTACCAAGCGGAAAGAACAAACTATTTTGGATTTTAAAAAAAAGAAAAAACCGTAGTTCCATATTTTAAAATAAAGTTAGGACCAACAAATTGACTCTTACGTTTTTGTAGGATTTCTAATCATTAAAATATATGATCCATTTAACAGAAATAGATAAAGCAATACACTTCAATGCAAAGCTCAGAAGCCTACCAGAAAGACTAAGGCGCAGTCTTTGATGAGAGGTTGTTATTTGCATCTTATAATCATTTCAGATATGTTACAAATGCAGCATGAAACTGCTGGGAAACAGTCAATAGAGCTTTGGATTTAAGTAGTGGCAACATTTAAGATGAATAGGGTGTATTTTGATATTCTTTTTATCCTTTAGTCATGTAAACAACTCACTTCAAATATCTATATCAATAACCAAATAATTACACCATGATATACATTTCAGATTGGTCCGAAGTGAGAAAATAACCACAACACGTTTCAAACTAATTGCAAAAATTATACAACTATGGGACGCAGAGAATTGCACTTGAACTTAAAGAGCTTCTGAAACACTTTTTCCCTAGACAAGCAGAAATAAAGCTCTATGAATTTGTCAATTTGGCCCCTGGAGAGGACAAGCAGCTGCAGCTGAAGCGGTCATGACCTTTTACAATTCAGAGCCTTTGGCTGAGACACAGGCATATCTTCAATGTGTGAATCTCAATCGACTGTGCAAATGATTCACAGAGACAGAAGCCCAAACAAAAAAGCAGAGAATGCACAGAAAAAAAGGAAACAACTGAAATACTGTCAGTCAGCTCTGGCTGTAGTGAGCAGAAAGAGCTGCTGTCTATGAACATTAGCATAATGTGGCCAATCCTGTAAATATGCTACACATGCGTTATATTTTACAGACATTTGTAAGCTATGTTTAACTCGTATACTTTATTTATCCCAGGTCGAAAAAATATCCCTTTTGTCCTTTTTATTTTACACAAATTACACCCTGAGATTTGATCAAAGAAAATGTGCACAAACGTCCACTAGCAATAATCACACGACTATTGAAACGGATCCTGAAGTACAAAACGCTGCACTTATACGAGAGCGAAACATCCTACATATGGACGGACATAAGCAAACAGTATATCAACCCATCGCACACTGAAGAGCACGCACAGCACATTTTTTAGAAGAGGATGCAGAATATTTCCCTGCAGCAGCACTTCTAATTTACTTTCCCTTTGCAGACCACAGTCCTGCTCATATTGTACTGTGCTGCTGTCGGAGGAATGAGAGAGGTGAGTGTGGCAGTACAGCATATTCTCTTTTGTATTATTGCAAATATATAATACCAATATTTAAAATGTCATTCTCTTCATTAAATGCATCTGACCTCCTCAATTCAGATTATCTCTGAAATCAAATGATATCTTCAATGGACATCACTGTCCTCTCTCGCTGTTAGACCGGTTCCACTTCAACTTGAAAGCTATTGTTTCTCACAATAAGTTGGCATTTACAGAAAAACACTAAAGTAGCCTAAGAACACTGAATCCACAGGACACTGTTACAGTTTGTTTCACTAATGCATTAAATAGTTATCTTAATAAAGAAAAATATATTATCCAGAGTGAGACTCGGTCAGTCCTTTGTTATAGAGTTAAAGGTCAGCACAACATCAGAGAGAACTCTTCTGGTCATTTTGCTAAATATGTCCCTTACACAATAAAAAACTATAAAGTATGTGATCCATGGCATATAGGGTTGGAAAATATGTCAGACTAAACTTCCATGAAATCCGAAGAAACTGAGGCTACATAAGGGAACGGATTTCATCACGGAGGTTAGAAAGGCATAATCAGATTGGAGGAACCTCAGTCTACAAGACTAGTCTGCAGCAAGGCCTGACATGGAACTTCTCTGAGTGGTGGTCAGTGGACTGCACTGAGAGTGGGGGTCAGTGGACTGCACTGAGAGTGGGGGTCAGTGGACTGCACTGAGAGTGGGGGTCAGTGGACTGCACTGAGTGGGGGTCAGTGGACTGCACTGAGTGGGTTACAGTGGACTGTAACACCAGTGGTTTACGCAGATTGCAGATTAGCCATATTCAAGCCACACACACGTTGAACAGCAGATTTTAAAATCTGTGGTCTTCTCTTCATTTATAAAACCACTTTAAGAGTAATTGCTGTTTGCATCGCCCTATCCAAAGTGGAGAAACAAGATTCATGGTGACGCCTGGTTTAGAATCAATAGTATCAAATCATTTTATGTTTCCTTTCACTTATTCCACTTTAGCTTCAGCTGGGCAACCCTAGCGTGTCCCAGTTTAGTTTGCAGGTCGACAGGCCTTTCGAAGAAGTTCACTATGGTGGGCTCGTTGAGCAGAGAAGCCAGGACCTGCTCGAAGGAAAAGGACCAATCGGTCTCCGCCTCCTGACTGTTGGTGGAGCTGCAGGTGTCCGACCTCTCCAAAGTGCTGGAAGCTTCTTCTGTTGGAGGCTCCGCAGCAGCAGCAGCAGCAGCAGCAGCAGCAGCAGCAGCAGCAGGCTGGGTGGACGCGGGGGGGCTGCTGGGCTCCTGCAGCCTTCGGCCCACCTCCTCCATCCTCAGCAGGAGGCTGGTCACATGGGCCACGGCTCTGTACAGAGGCTCCTCCTCCGGATCGCCATGGAAGATGTTGTACAGGGTCTTGGAGAAGTGGATGAACTGAGACTGAGATATAAAAAAAACATCATCAGATGATTTGCCGTATCACAAGTCAGGACTTTTTTTTATTGAGAAAATGTTGCACTTCAATACAACACAACATGTTTTGGAGTACCTGATTAATCCGGGGTAGGTCTTTGATGGTTTCCTCCTTCTTAAGAATTTCATTTTGCCATTGCTTCAAGTATGCCTGCAGGTCCACTTTTCCTCTACCTGTTGTCACACACAAACTCTACACTATCAGACAAAACTAAGACCGTTATTTTTATAGCCATGGAGTATTTGTGATCATTTAAGGTACAATACCTCGTTCGGGAGTTTTCCTTATCACACCATCTTCAGGTAGATCAAATGCTGAAAAAGAGAAGCAGCATGGGAACACAATGTATAAAGAAATGCTTAAAGAACCTTTAGAAGCATTCAAGGAAATGGGGCATGCATCAAGACACAATTGTGAAAATCAGGAGGAAATGGGGAAATTTGAGTTTGAAAGGAGAAGAAAGAGTAAAGAGGCTAACCAGCGAGTCTACTCAAGTGAGAAGAGTCTTCAGTCACTGGAATTAAGTGCTGGATGCTTTGATCCTTTAAGTGCAAAGGACTACCTGTGAAAGCTAGAGAGAAGACACCGACAGTGAGTGTTTGTCGAGGAAAGATGAAGAGACACTAAGATGACAGAGGATCCACGTGAGCAAAGTAGATTACATTAGATTGTATTGAAACAAGATGTTGATGTTGAAAGAGTTACCCAATCATTTAGTTACAGTGTAAAGCAATCCCACCTGAGACTCTTGAAAACGATGATATGTTTGTGAAGCTTACAAAGTCAACTCTAAATTGAAATGTGTTTAAAAAACACAAAATGCAATTTTCTGACACGAGGGGTCTCTCTTTCAAAACATTATACGATTTTGAATCATTATACTGAAAGTACGGTTCATTAAATGCAATACTGTAAGCAATAAGAAATCAAAACTGAGAAACAGAAATGAAACCTTTTTAATGCAATTAGAATAGAGGGATATGATTTGCATTAAAGGGCCTATGAGGCTCATGTTCAGGTTCATATCAGTATGTAGTGTCTCTCCTGGGACATGTCTCCAGGCTTTCATGTTCAAAAAGCTCTTATTGTTCTCATACTGCCTGTGCTGCAGTACCTCTTTTCACCCTCTGTCTGAAACCAGAGCCCAGTCTGCTCTGATTGGTTAGCTGTGTGTTTGCTGTTGTGATTGGGCAACCGTTTGGAGATGTACCGCCTCTTAGCCTAACACGTACAATGGTTTGGGATTTCAGCCTTTGCTGACCATTAACATGCACAAAAACACACTACAGAGAAAGAGGAAACCCCATAAAGAATAATGGGGCCCCTTTAATCACGATCCCTGTAACATCTAAGACATCGCACCACGTTTTGTGCAATCGAGCAAAGGAATTAACATTGGCCTATATTAGTAAAAAATAACTTGCAGGCTTAATTAGGTAAAACAAATAAAGTAAACTAAGAAGTATTTTTGATTACCTATATACTATCACACAGCATAATATTGCTAAGTGTATTTAACACCTGTATTATAAACTGGCAGCTCATTTCGAGAAACTAAATAAAGTTTTGAATATTTCTTGGAAAATAAAATAATGCATTTACTTAATGGTTACTGCCTGAAGTATTTTAATTTCTCAGTTTCTACTATCATTTGAGAGGTTCTATACTCCTATGCTCCAACCCCCACGGAGACTGTGTGTGTGTTCATGCATGCTTGTTAATTTTCATTGCTTGATTACACAATTATCCTCACAGGCCAGCAGTGTCATTATATTTGCCCGATAGCTTTGTGCTGCACAGCCTGAAGATTGTCATGTTGGTTACTTGTCGTGTGTGTGTTTGTAATCTCACACACACACACACACACACACACACACACACACACACACACACACACACACACACACACACACACACACACACACACACACACACACACACACACACACACACACACACACACACACACACACACACACACACACACACACACACACACACACACACACACACACACACACACACACACACACACACACACACACACACACACACACACACACACACACACACACACACACACACACACACACACACACCACACACACACACACACACACACACACACACACACACACACACACACACACACACACACACACACACACACACACACACACACACACACACACACACACACACACACACACACACAGTGTTGCTGCTATTAAGAACCCAAACAGAATGAACCTTATTAGCTGTGGAGATTTTTCCTCACTTGTAAGACCTGGGCTTTATATTGTATATATATTTAAGCAATAGCTCACGACAGGCCGTGGTATATGCTCATTATATCACAGCTAAGGGGCGTGGTTCGGCCCGACGCGAAGCGGAGGGTCGACAACCCCCTTAGCTTGTATAAAACGGTTACCAAGTGTGGCAATATGAAAGAAAAATACACACTCTAATTTAAATAGTTTTTATTAGTAAATAATGATGTTCAAAATAAAATAGTCCCTCTGTTGCCTTCTGCACGAAACATAGTGCGAGGTGGTTGCTATGCAACAACACTAACAACAACTAGCGAACATATTAGACAGAGAGCGTTGATCCATTATTTGGCTATTTATTTACATTAATGTGTATGTTGCCGTTTATTGTGCACCCACTGAAAAACTGTCCAGCATCAGTAGCATGGCTTACGTGGTTACTTGTATAGGCTGAGGTTGTTCTAGGCTGTTGCTTTGCGTGGCGAGAATATTGCTCCACTTTCTCCGGTCCCCGAGATTCGGCTTCCAGTAGCTCTGGAGAGAGCTTTCGCACCTGTGGCCACTAACGGTCATAATTTCTCTGCTTTGTTTCAAGACCCGCATCAGAAAGCTTTTGAATGGTGATACTTTTCCAGTTGGTCTACCTGCTCTTCACGTAGCTCTACATGTCGTCGTTTAGGTGCTTTTTGTTCTGGAGATAGGCACTCCTCAATCCACTCCTCCATAGTAAACCCCCCCCCCCCCCCCCCGGAGGACGAAGTTAATCTTAAATGTTTTTGCGGACCTTTTTGATTACAGATTTGAAAACATGGTTGCTTGCTTTAAAAGTAGCACAATTCATTATGTCAAACCTTGGAAAGTATCTAAATATCCCTGCCCTAATGCCAAAGGAACTGCACACTGAATATGTTTTTGCCATTTGATGTCTATGTCTGGACCGTTGCGTAAAAAGGAGGGTTTCTGCCCCGTTACTTCTCCGCTGCTTTCTTGTTCCAGTTTGAAAAGCAAACTGCTTGCAGTTTGCTTTTCAGCCCAACTGTATACTGTTTATCTCAGACGCGGAGGGATACTGACTTGTTGTGAAAAGTAACTTACAATTCTACCCGTGGTATACGCTCAGTATACCACGGCTAAGAACCAATCAGATTGCTTGATTTTACTTGTCCGTTTTATAAATATATTTATAAAACGGACAAGTAAAATCAAGCAATCTGATTGGTTAGACGGGTAGAATTGTAAGTTACTTTTCACAACAACTCAGTATCCCTCCGCGTCTGAGATAAACAGTATACAGTTGGGCTGACTGGAACAAGAAAGCAGCGGAGAAGTAACGGGGCAGAAACCCTCCTTTTTACGCAGCGGTCCAGACATAGACATCAAACGGCAAAAACATATTCAGTGTGCAGTTCCTTTGGCATTAGGGCAGGGATATTTAGATACTTTCCAAGGTTTGACATAATGAATTGTGCTACTTTTAAAGCAAGCAACAATGTTTTCAAATCTGTAATCAAAAAGGTCCGCAAAAACATTTAAGATTAACTTCGACCTCCGGGGGGGGGGGGGGGGGGGTGTCTTACTATGGAGGAGTGGATTGAGGAGTGCCTATCTCCAGAACAAAAAGCACCTAAACGACGACATGTAGAGCTACGTGAAGAGCAGGTCGACCAACTGGAAAAGTATCACCATTCAAAAGCTTTCTGATGCGGGTCTTGAAACAAAGCAGAGAAATTATGACCGTTAGTGGCCACAGGTGCGAAAGCTCTCTCCAGAGCTACTGGAAGCCGAATCTCGGGGACCGGAGAAAGTGGAGCAATATTCTCGCCACACCAAGCAACAGCCTAGAACAACCTCAGCCTATACAAGTAACCACGTAAGCCATGCTACTGATGCTGGACAGTTTTTCAGTGGGTGCACAATAAACGGCAACATACACATTAATGTAAATAAATAGCCAAATAATGGATCAACGCTCTCTGTCTAATATGTTCGCTAGCTGTTGTTAGTGTTGTTGCATAGCAACCACCTCGCACTATGTTTTGTGCAGAAGGTAACGGACGGACTATTTTATTTTGAACATCATTATTTAATAATAACAACTATTTAAATTAGAGTGTGTATTTTTCATTCATATTGCCACACTTGGTAACCGTTTTATAAAAGCAATAGCTCACTTCAGGCCGTGATATATGCTCATTATATCACAGCTAAGGGGGTTGTCGACCCTCCGCTTCGCGTCGGGCCGAACCACGCCCCTTAGCTGTGATATAATGAGCATATACCACGGCCTGTCGTGAGCTATTGCTTAAATATACATGAAACCTACAAAATGTCTGTTATGTAATAGTCGTTTTTGCCATATTTGATCATATCCTTGCTTCACCGATGTACGACAGCTATATGTTAAAGGTACAGCCAGACATTTTGAGACAGATGATGTCTCTGCTCTCTGACTGGCGCTGATAAGTGAATACAGCTGCTGGATTTAGTGTTTGGCTTACAAAACCTGCCGCCTTTCAGCTCTAAATAGCCCATGATTTCATTTCCTTGATCAATGGAGCGTTTGGCCCAGTTTCAGGGCTCAGGACTGTCCCACTGAGGAATGTGTGAGTGTTTTAGGTCGCTGTGTTTTCTACCTTTGAGCTCGCTCTGTACAATTACAGTCCACAACAATGCTTGAGGTAAAATCCCACAATGCATAGCTTTGGGACATCAACAATGGTGATGACAGCCAATTCTTTCATTGTAAAACAAGAATAACTTAAAAGTAGTCGGTGTTGTACATTTTACATCCGTCTGTGCAAAACATCATCCCTTTTGGACAGAGATCTATTTGACTTTTGTTTAAATAATCATAACTAGCATTTGAATTATTAAGTGGTGGCCATCAACGTGTTTGTCAATTTGGACGTTTGTACAAAAAACATAACTAAACAAAGCATTGAGCATGTGGCAGCCACGTGGCATCCAATGTGTTCATTTTACTTCTACATAAGAAGCAAACAACAACAAACGGTCCATAGCATTGATCTCCATATTGAAATACTAGCCCGCACTGTGCATATAAATATCACTGTCACAAAGTGCCGTCCAAATTTCACACATCGTTTGGAGCCCTCACACCCTCCTCAGACAGTGATGTCACAGATGACGTTGGTAGTGTCTGAGGGTTCAGTGCTGAGGATCTGTCCTTGGTGCTGAAGCAGTGTGCCCTCTCTCTCTCTCTCTCTCTCTGTGAGACATAGACAACATGCTTTGCTGCTTATCGTTCAGCGGCCTGGCTGGCACATCACAGACAGTGAGTCAGTGCTCCTCTGCTGCTCAGCTGTCAGTTGTAATCTGAGCAGTTCCTCCTCATCAACAGACTCTCTGTGGAGAAACGAGCCCTTTGCAAAATGCCCTCACAGCGCTTTACACATGTCGTTGCCATGGCAAAGCCCTTTCACCCAACATGGACTATTCTTACTGCTGCCTTCAGGCACGTGCTGCTGCAACATCATGCAGAAAAGAGCCACACATTCAAGGACAGTTTCCACCCCCAGGCAATATACTCACTCAACAAATACTGAGTCATGGACGACTGCTACATTCTAAAGCTCTGCAGATCAAAGCCTCATGTTGATCTGACCTTGTGTTTTACTTTAGGCTGCTTCTGACGCCTGCTCATGAGTTATTGCTGTCATGTAAGACAGAATCTATAGAATGATAACGATCCAGTCCTGTGACGTTTGATGCAATTGAACTTTGAACCTGCTGGAGTGTATCATCTCTGTAGACTAGATATGTCATAAGAGAAATGGGTCAGAGGGTGAAGCTGAAGCTGTGCAAACAAATATATTTGTAGTTTACAAGACGCAGACAAAACCCTGAGACACCACCATGGGTCAGAGTTGTCAACATGTCACATGATAAATGTTTATCTTTTAAAATATTTGCCGCTGTTGGTAGCGATGACTGACTCAAATAGCTGCAATATGCCCAATCTTTTCAATTTATGTCTGTGTTCATGTACTATACAAATAATTTAATTATTGTTTACATTTGGACCAACTTGTTGCTGCATTAAAAAGGTTTACACTTAAATTGTAATTCTGATTTTCTATTCGATTTTTTACCAAGTTGCTGGTGTTCAATTTATTTTTTCAATTCATTAAATGCATATCTATGCCTTTAATTATTGAAAAGTATTGAAAGTCGACGGGTGGGGTGGAGGACTAGTGGAGCACACGCGTGGAACACGCACCGGAAGTTGTGGCACAATTCCGTTGTACACACGGACGTTAACAGCAGCCCCGTCTGTGCGCACGGCGACCGGCTCTGTCGTCCAGTGATCGAAGCGCCTTCTGGAAATGCTTCACAAGTCCGCCGGTACGCAAATGCGCTTAGTGAGACAAGTGACGGTACGCATTTCAGATGTTTGCCGTGCAGGCGTACCTGCGTACCAGTTATGTTCACCCCTGGTTATGTTGCTGTATTTGTATGCATTGTATTCTCTGTGTGTTATATGCGTTATGTTTTTATGTGAAAGCACTTTATAACTCAGTTTGAAAGGTGCCAAAGAAATAAATGATGCTGACAGGTATCTGCAATGACAAAGTCAGATGGTTGCATCCCTCGCTGTGAGCTTTTAGATTGTTTGTTCATGACTCACCTGGTGGCAGGTGCAGCTTGAAGAGGAATTTCAGCTTATTTGTGAACGATGCACCGTATAAAGTATCTGCGGGAGAAGCAATCAGACATTTTAGTGGTGGGGATACTGAGGTTAACATTAGTGGAGAACGCAGGGAGTAAGTGAACTCACCAAGGGCGTAGCAGAACTCTTTAAAGTTCACCAGGCCGTCCTGGTTCTCGTCTATCAGGCGGAACACCCAGAGGGAGAGGGTGCTCTTGGGGCTGCAGAAGGCCCAGGGCTCCAGCAGCGAGAAGAGCACGCTGAACTGCTGGAAGCCCAGCTGGTACTGATCCAGATAGGCCAGGCTGGGGTCATGATGCAGCAGAGCGGGACTCTGTATTCTCCAGTAGCAACACAGGAAATGTTGCCTCTAAAAGCAGAAAACAAAGAAACCGTGTCCATTGCTATTTTTCTTATTATGAATGTTGACATTTTGGTATCATGACAATGAAGATACTGTATCGTGACTTTGACTCACTTTGAACAGGTTGTAAATCTCATCAAGTTGTGAGGCTCCGAATCGGACTTCTTGTGTTACTACCCGAATCTGAAAATAGATTTTTTATTTTTTTTTTTATTTCAAAGTGACAATGAAAGCGGAGTAACTTATTGTAACCTCGAGGATAGCTTACCACATTCTGTTTGGTTGTGTCCTCCAGTGTCTGGATCACATGCAGTTTGTTTCTTTTCCGCGAAGTCTCCACTTCCTCTGAACGGATATGTCCATATTTCTGCAACAAAGAACAATAAGTGTAAAACAACCACAACGTTGACATCAGTGAATAAAAAAGTAAATAAATAGATTAGTCGGTTAAAAGAAAAAGGATCCTAGCCTATTTTGACAACAATTGATTAATTATTATATCAATTTGTCAATGGCAACAATGCTCTTTTCAGCCCCTGAAATATGGAGATTTGTTTAATATCGTATAAGGGAGAATATTTCTGCGATTTGGACGATAAACAGCGAACTGAGAACCACAAACTTGGTCTTTGAGAAAGTGGTATGGACATTTTTCTCCAACTCCAGCTTTTTAAAAACCAACATGGCTCAAATATTGTTTCAAAACAAAACTCTGACATAAAATGAATTGTGATATTTGTTCATACAGAGATAGATAGTTGTAGAACTTGTATCCGTCTATGGTTTTAAATGAATGCCACTTATTGCAGTAAATGCAGAAAAATGCAAATAAATATCCAGGTGCTAACATCTGTAATTAAAGGAATGTATACAAAGTAGACACATCTTCTGAATAATCTAAAAGTCAGACTATTACAGAGAAATGTGTAGCTCTGTGTAGTACATCTCATCTTTTGGGGGGGATTCTCCTCCTTACTTGCCTATCTGGTATATTCAAGTATTAATCAGAAATAAAAACAGTCATTGTTTGCAGTGCTAATACCTCATAAGCCTCTCGTATCAGTTCACTGATATCCACACTGACGTGGGAGGCTTTATCGTTGCTTCCCACTGAAGCTTGCTGTACAGTCGGAGGCAGCGGGCTGTCTTTGTTTGTCACGCTGTCGAAGAATCTGTAATAAAACCATCAAAGAAAGAGAGACAATCATTTACACAGCAGCAATGTTTGAAATACATCAGTCCTGCTTGGTTTGCCTTCACACAGACTTGTTGAGGATGGTGACGGCCTCGGCGTCGTCATGGCAGCTGATCAGAGCCTCCATGTTGTAGTCCAGCACAGCCAGGCCCAGCTGCAGAATGGCTTTGATGCCGTCGTAGAAAAAGCAGTCCACCACGTTCACTGCGCTCTCGATGGGCAGGACACTGATGAAGAGAGTGAGGAACCAGGACAAGGACACAGACGAGAAGAAGCATAGGTCTGTCATGTGCTCCACCAGCTGGGGGAGGTTTTCTCTAATCAGGTCCTCAAACACCGCCTGGTCAACCAGAGCACCTGGAGAAAGATTAGACAACATTAAGTGATCATTCAAATCTGGAATCATTCTAACAGTACGAGGAATGCTTCCCCTCTCACCAATAATTCGCCGATTAAAGTAATCCGGCAACATCCTCTCACAGACGGCCACTAGGAGCCAGAAAGCCTCCTCTTCTTTCGCATAGAGCAGGAGAACTGAGGTGAGAATGTTCATGGCCTGCACAAGGAAAAATAGCACACTTCACTTGTATCATAAGGTTAACTGGAGGAGGAAGGCCAATATAAATGGTGTGTGTGATTCAAAAAGGGTTTTCAGAGCGTCGCTGCCTTTTTTAAGTGTTGATGTTGATGGTTTTATATCCCGCGTGGCCTTTTCTGAGGTCCATAACCTTATTTTTGAGGTACTTGGCCTTTTTTAAAATCACCTCTGCTTTTCAGAGTTACTGGAATCATCAATGTCAGGGAAATACAAATGAAAAGTAAAAGGACACACAGGGGTTCAAAACGGCAAGGAATATTATTGAAAACAGCAGGAAAAAACGTATAATGTAATGTTTCATAAATGAATAGCACAGACAGAGAGATGAAGAAAGATCATGTGAGCTAATGGACTGTTAGTTAGTTTTTTTCCAAACACATTTTGTTTTCGCATATATTTTACCAATTCATTTTGTATATCATTTCAATTATTTAATTTATGCACTTTTTCTATCTATATTGTATTTGTGCCTATCAAATAAACACTAATTGAAAGGAATAATATTCATTATAATTCAAATAATATCTCAGTTATTGTTACTTAAATGTGTATAATTACCCATTGCCTAACGGGGAATCTGTTAAGTATGTGTATGAATATGCATCAAAGGGGGAAAGAAATCTACAAATAATAAAAGTAATAGATCTTTTTTGGAGATAAAAACAATGTTATTATACTAAAGAACAATTAACAGCAAAATGATGAACAATGTGTGTCAGTTATTGTAGTATAGAGTCATTTATTCCACAGTTGAGGTAGCTTGTGGGTGCTATGATGCCACCAGCAGAAGGGTATACATGTGTGTGTATTTGTTTATTATTATATAACGTATAAAGTACCTGACAGTAGCCAATCTTGGGGTTCCTGTAAGCATAGGCAGTGAGGACTCTGCGTAGAGCAGAGATTCCTGTGTCGCTCTGGAAGGCGGGGTGCTCTGGCAGAGAGCGGTGCAGGTCTCTCTCGATCTCGTCTGTAGCCAGAGTGCTGGTGCCCAGGGACTGCTCCACCAGATCAGTGTAATACCCGGGGTGAGTGGCCATGTCGTTCACAGCTCCTACAGAGGCAGAGCCGCAGTCAGTACAATAACACATGCTGCACAGATCCCACACCCACTTCATTAGTTATGTTGCGTGAGCTTCATGCAAGGCTTCCAAACAAATCACTGACACTGCTTGTCGCGGAGGCTCAGATCCAGAACCGACTCCTACACCCTCTCTTTCCACTCCCACGACATTTTGCGTTCGCGTGGAGGATCGGCCACATCAAGTGCAGTTACAAGCAAAGTAGTGGGCACTGGAGATGGGTTATTAAAACCTCTGGCAGCAAGTCTGCACTGATCCTGACTTAACCAGGGCCGTACCGTATAGAACCATATGCCACTGTATGCAGTGCTGTTTGTGTCCTTTATGGACCGATCAAATTGTATTTTTATTTTACTAACTTAGGATCACATATATACTTGTGTCTATTCTAGAAAACAATGTGTTCATTTGATTGAAACGTTTTGTATATTTACAGAGACCAAAAAAAACAAGCAGCTTAAAAACATTTAAAAAGGCAACTTAGGATTCTTGAGGTTTAATTATAATTATGTATTCTACACAATGGTTACAAGAAGTTACAAAATGTCCTGATTAATTTACACCATCCACCTTAAAGCAGGGAGCCTCATTCAGCTGTGAGTGTGACTACAGTCCAAGTTCCCTCCATCAGGGAGTGAGAGGGTGAAGGGTCCGTCTTTGAATCGGGCCTTGTTTACATACCATGGCGTGAGTAATGTGTGCTGGACAATAACCTGAAAAAAGCATCCACAGCTCTCCTCTCAAGGCCTCAGGAACACCTCGGACGATCAGATCTCGTGTCTTCCTGGTGAAGAACATACTCGTGCCGCGTCCGTATTCAGAGAAGTGGATGTTCCAAGACTGTTCCTTCATCTTTTCTTTAAGCTGTTAAACACACAGGACAACACACACCACAGTGTTACTGCATCGGCTCTGAACACTGTTCACACTGCTTGTATTCCAAACAGATGCAACATTTTTATTTATGTCCACCCCTGAATTGATTACACACCCACCCAGAGCATAACAAGGCTCTGGTGCATCAAAATGACATTAAGGTAAGCCAGTCAGAATTTTGTGGTTTTCAAAAAATTGCTGCTGAAACGTACCATTTTGGGGTCGAGGTTTTCAACATCCTGGGGGTGGAAAACCATCATGAGCGCCTCAGTGCTTACAGCCTTGCTGCTGTCTTTCTGTCCCACCATCAGTGTGACATCCTCCGGGTTGTCATCGAAGTGATTGATGAGCGACTGGCACTCGCCTCGTATGACCTTGGTCATAAATACATATACATATTCAGTAGCACTATCTATGCAGCCCATGTCTAAAATTCATTATGCTTTATAGCAATATTCATAACCCGTTAAAATAATTTTAAACTGTGTCAAAATACAGTCAACAAATATATATTTCATACATCATTTTAATATTACACATGCTAATTAGTATAATTGTAATACATTATGATCTTTTAAAATGCATTATATCAATGCATTTTGTAATGTTTTATTCTAAGTTGTCATTGTTTGCTTTAAAAAATAAAAATGATATCTATACAAGAACAATAAATAGTTGTAAAAATATGTTTTATTTTCCTTATTACACACAATGAACAAAGAGTAACTTGATATAAAGTTATAAATTCATAAAAACTGAGATCATAATGAATTATAAAAGATTATAATGTGTAACAGTTATGGGAATTGTAATACATATAACATTTGATCTTTAAAAAAAGTAATTGAGCTACATTAAGTGTTATTATGTTACCTTATAAATGATACAAAAATTCTTATATTGTAGTAAAGCCTTATGAAAATATATGAATGCTAATAACTATAATTTATGTGTTTGCTATGAGCAGATTATATTTGCATGATAAGTACAGTATGTCTTTCTTTCAAAACAGACAAGATAGTAAGTTTTACCAAATGTTCAATGTCACAAGTCGTTTTAAACTATATAACCAAAATAATACTCTACTCTATTACTTTACAAGAGCAAAGTGGCCAGAAAAACACACAAACACGTTACCTCTGATGATGCAGAGTGCTGGGGGCTGGCACTGATCCCACACTTGCTTCGGAGCGAGTTTGCCAGGCGCTGGTAGTCCCGCACCTCAGAAAATCGCAGTGCCCTCTTTCCACGCATACACACCGTTAAAGCCCTGCTGCTGGGGTCTGACTTCTCAACATTAATGACCTGAGAGAAGGCAGTGTTAGCAGAGCACACAGCCATTTTCATCACAAGTGTTAATCAGTATGCAGGGTGCTATATTGGCAGCGTTATAATACCTTACCTCTCTCATTGGAATGATGGTGTGGCATTGGCTCCCGTCTTGGCTGGCAAAACACAGATAGTTCTCAGACAGACAGATCTTGCCAAGTGTGTTAAAATGGCTGAAGGGCACCCAGAGGAAGCTCTCGTGCACCTCTAACAGGTTTTCCTCTTTGGGAAGCCTGAAGAATGTCCGGAACTGCTCACTCTTTGCATGAGCTTCTAGGCCTCTGTGGGGGGAAAGTAAAGCAGAATATAATGTCACGAGCAGAAAATCACCTTTAAGTTTTCAGGAACATCCTTTTAGCAGCTTTAGACACCGGAGTATTTGGGATATTTCAGTGCCTAAGAGTGCTTTGAGATATTACAGATATATATATTACGGAAACAGATCCTTAACTTGAGTAAAAGTAGAAATATTGCAGTCTTAAAATACAAAAATTAACCAAAGTATAATATCCAAATGTACTTTAACTATGAGAGTAAAATAACTCAGTATGCCGAATTACTACTTTTAAGTGTTATATTATTATAAAATATTATATTCATCTCCTCTAATGAATACATGTCATATGTTTTAATTTGGAGCAAATGTTAAATACCTTTTATACAACTGGGTAGATTATCATTTACATATCATAAGTTTCTATGTAAAAGGTTAAGAGTAGATAGTAGCACAGATGAGAAATACTCAAGTAGAGTACAATTTTGTCAACATTGTACTTATGTATAGTACTTGAGTATATGTACTTACTGTAGTTACGTATCACCGCTCATTATTACATGCATATCAAAGTTTGGATAGGTAGATTACTTTATTCAAGGTCATTTTCTAAAGGTCACCTATCATGCTACTTTTAGGCAATAGCATAGGTCTCAGATATATACAAATATATAAAAAACATGTCCATGAAGTGTTTTGCTCAAAATACCAAACAGATCACCCATTCTAGCCATGCCTCATATCCCTCTATTTCACTTCCTGTTTCAAAAGTGCTGATTTTGGGTATAAAGCTTTAAAGAAAAAATAAATTATTTTTACTTCCAAAACAGTCGGGCATTGTTTCTGATAGCAACTTTCTGAAAGTTGGGGTCCACATTTCCGATATTACGTCATATCGGACGCAAATCTGGATCAGCTCCGTTGTACCCCCGTTTTTAGAGATTTGGGTACGGAGGAAAAGAGAGAGGGTTTTATTTTCTGACGCTGCGTGAGTTCCCTGACACACCGGGGACACATATTTATGTATGAAAGACATCAAAAAGTGCATTTTGCATGATAGGTCCCCTTTAAATTATCCTGTTTCATAATAACTTTGAATTAAAGCATTAAGGTTCAAATGTATAAATAAAAAGCTTGATTCTAGAATATACAGTTAAAGTGGTAAAGTAAACAACAACAGTAAGTTGACCTGGTTTTGTCATGCATGACCTACCTGCCACTACAGGCAGGTTAACACAAACACAAATGCTTTTTGACTGCAGTCAGACTTTCTGTTTCCTCGGGTTCTTCAGGTTGGCAGCCGGCACTAACAGGATCATGTAAAGCCGTGCAGAGCAGCAGACAAAACTTCATTTACCTCTTGGTAATCGTCAGGGGGTCGGAGAGCGCCGGCTCCCTCTGGAAGTCCTCTTTATCGAAAAGGCGCTTAATGGAGTAGTTGGCCAGCTGTTCCATGATAACAAAGGTTTCATTGAGGTGCAGCAGCATGGAGAAGTAGTGATTGTCCCCATGGGCCTGGACATGGATGCTCTCAGTCAGGATAACATTGGTGGTTTTCTCCAGCCTCCAGATCTCGTCCCAGGAGATGATCAGTTTCACTGCACGGGCATCACAATGAATGAAAGTCAGTGATTCAGGCTCACAGCTGCAAGGACAACACTCTTAAATGAATAAGAAACATATTACTGTGAAATGATGTTGAAAAAAGGACTCATTCCTTCCTATAATTATGGAACCTGTAATTACCTCGAGCAGTTTCTATAAAAAATAATGATCGAAGAATGTTCCTTGCAGACCATAACAGCTAACTGTGGTTGCCAATAGAAACTAGCATCAATCAAAATGAGCAAGACAAATGGCAGCTCATATGGAGAAACGGCTCACCCTCAGATCCCAGCAGGTATGAATAGAAGCAGAGGAAGTTGGTGCTGAGGTAGAGCCAGCCCTGGCACGGCACTTTGCCTCTCCAGTAGCTGCATGAGTAATATGTGACCAGCTTCTCCTGCGGTGGCAGCTCAAACCACTTCTCAAACTTAAAAAGTGCTTCTCGGAACTTCTCTGGATCTTCTTCCAGCACCAGGGAGGCCTTCCCTTCTTCAGCGATAAGACCCTAACAGATTAAACATCAAGGATTACCGCAGGCAGCGACAATATAACAAGGAACTATCTTCTTATAATTGCCTTAATCAACCCATTTATATTCCTAAACATAATTGCGTGTACTAAAAAGTGTTGTTATTTATTTAGTAAGTGGAAAACAACTTTAATAAACAGGTGTAAATCATTTAAAGTGATAGAGTTATGTTATCTTAAACAGTATTTTACAGCACAACAATGACAGTCAGCTCTCCGAGAGATTAACTTCAAACGTTCTTACTCTTATCTTGCCCTGTACAAAGCTGGTGATGTCTTCGCTGGAGTCAAACACAGAGAGCGTCCTCATGATGTTCTGCTGCAGCCATTCCCAATGCTCAGTGATCTCCTCTTTGGTGACACCTGACCAAAAGTCAAGAGTAAACAATATAAAACTGTTATTAAATATCATGCATGGGAGGTTGTTTTGAAGACAAAAGAGTCTTAGGTGACAAATATTTCGTTTTCTATTGTAAAATATGTTAACTTGGATTAGGGAATAGTGGCTTCATTAGGGTTAGATTTCGCAAGAGTGCCAGTGACTGTCTTTATGCAATTAACAAATTGTTTAAAAGAAAATACATACCGCATGCTATTGACCAATACACTTGTGAGTCTGGTGTGTGGTGTAGAATACGGTAGGGGGCAACTTTGGATGTGGAGTCCAACACAGTGTCCAGAGTTCCCACAAGAAGGCCTGTAACGTACAGAAGGACATTCATATGTTCAACGATCATTATCACACATGAGCCTCAGTGATGTGACTGAAGAAACTCTGAAAGACAAGCTGTACAGGATATTTAACAAGAGCACAAATAATAACCTTTCATTTTCTGTCTACCAACCAATCACTGTTCAACAGAAACAATAACATTTGACAGCATCACAAAATAAGAATACATTTAAAAAGGGACAGTTAACCCCTAAATCAAAAATAGATATTTTTTCTCTAACCTGTATTGCTTTTAGGTTGTTTTGCTTTAGCCCCACTCGCGCAATTGAGTTCCATAATATTAAAGAATATCATTACGGCTGACATTTCCAAAACTCACACCAAAACCATATTGATTTTAAAATAGCAGAAAGGGTAAATGTAAACATAGGACATTTTTATTTTGGGATTTGTTTCCCCTTTAAAAGGATGCTGCTGTGGTTTAATGTTAATTACATATCAATAATCTTTTATATGGATCTAGGGCTCTGCCTTTATACTCTTACTGACGGTGTAGAAATTCAACACGTCTCAGGTCCACGTCAGTGCTAAAATGAGCTCAATCTGTTACCTTTATAACTTCTATCTTCCATGCCCTCCATGAATAATTAACAACGTGGCTGTGAAAGCACCCTCATGCCTCAGCATTATAACGGCCTGCCTGCTGAACATGGTCAAAGCTCTCCACAGGCTCTATTAGCGAGCCACCAAGGAGAAAAGGATTCAAAGGATCAAATACAGCTCACAGCATTTATGTTCTTCCCATCGCCATCCCAGTGGAGCTGAACATTGACTTTAACACAAGATACTTCAGATATAAAAGGCATTTGTGATGGAGAGGGCTTTAAGTGCACAATGTCATCAGTACTTAACATACACTATCATTAAGGGGACAATTGTCTTCAGCTAGAACACCATTCATCATCATTAATTATTTATAAATAACCTCTAAGCTGTAACACTGTGGTAAGAGTTTAGAAACTGTTTGTTACAACAATTGGAGGTATCAAACCTCAATATTTTTTGAAGATGCAACGTGTCATCACTTGGGGTCACGAGTGCGAACCTGAGGGTGCACTTGATTTTTCAGGACTTGAAAAGAGACTGATGCTAGTTACTTTAGGACAATTTCAAAAACAACTTACTAGCATGAACCACTGTTCCCTTGGACTGGTACAAAATGTGTTTACCTTGTTGTCCCTCAGCTTATGTGGCTTACAATTAGGGATGCTCCGATCGATCGGCCGCCGATCGATATCGGCCGATATTCACTCTCTGCCGATCGATCGGTGCTCTCTATAAATGCTGATCGGGAGAGCCGGTCGCATTAGCTAAAATACATGACACTTTTCTCTGTGCGCGGCAAAACAAGCTCGCCAAAATGGCTTCACCAGTCTGGCAGTATTTTAAGGTGTCCGAAAAAGACAGTAAAATAGCGGTATGCAACGTGTGTGAAGCAGAAATCCTGCAGCTCCACCCGCTGTGACGGACCGGTGAGCGGAGCTAAACACACACTAAGAGTTAGACCTAACACACTTAGCTATTTGATCTACCTCTGGAACAAGCTAAACTAGTTATAAATATGTTTATTCTTCACTGTCGGGTCACTCATTACTGGATCAGTGAGCATGAGATACTGACAGGCTGTCAGGAGAGAGAGAGGGGTAGAGAGGAAAAGAGAGCGCTTCCGCTCATTTCTCCCGTGTTATTATCCCAAGTGAATGTAAACTTGAATAATGTACTTCATTTGAATGTAATAATTATGTTGGTTGTTGTTTGTGGAAGCGCCAGTGAATGAGCCCCATTAACTGATCCCCATTCCCCACTCGATCGGATCGGCCGATACTGATTCCGGACCCAGAATTGGCGATCGGAGCATCCCTACTTACAATGAATAAATAATACAAATAGAAAACTGAACATAAAATGGTGGTGAAATATTTTGACTGTTACTTCCCAATGACTTGAATTAAAAGTATGGGATCAGTATGTTTAATTATAATAACACCAGACAGTTAGGCATACATGTTGTTTTTTCAGTGTAGCATATACATACATTATTATCTAAAAGTGGTTTAAAGGTCAAAGATGGGTTCGGGTTACAGTAAAACAGGGTTAAATGTGTTAGAAAAGTGTCAAAAGAACTATAATTTCACGGGAAGACTAGGGGTGGAGGAATTAGGGCTGAACGATTAATCGATTTTGAATCGAAATCACGATTTTAAATGATGCAATTATCAAATCACAAAGCCTGCGATTTTTTTAATTTTGTTTTGTTCTTCTTGTGTGTCAGTCATCCACACCAATCAGAAGTGCTGTGCTCCACATGTACCAGTCATTGTTAACCAATCAGAAGTGGCCCATGATAGTAGGTGATAGACAGATTGATCCAATCACCTGCCAAGTATTTTTGAAATACTTTTCCAAATGGCTTCCAATGGAGCTTTCCTAGATGGTTTGGTGAAACAAACCATCTGAGTCAGGTTAGTAATGCTCCATCACATGTTCTACATCTATTACAGGGTGAATCTTAAACTGAAGCTTGACTTTAAAGCAACCCAACGGAAGTTTCATGTAAGTTTAGTTCTTTCACTCGTAGCTCGGGCTGCGGGGGTGCCAGAGACGGGAGCACGTTGAAACGACCTTCCTAGCCGGAGATATGGCCGCATTTTACAATAAACTTCCGTTGGGTCGCTTAAAAACAAATATCGCAAATCGAATCGCAATATCTGTCTGAAAAAGGAGGAATGTGAGAATTTGGTAAGGGATATTGTCAAATATCTGGAACAAACTACCAGAGACCTGCAGGTCCGCTGCAACTTTTACTACTTTTAAATCCAGGCTGAACACTTTGAATTGCCTTGTGTTGAAAAGTGCTAAATAAATAAACGTGCCTTGCCTTGCCTTGCCTATAGCAAGAAAAGCGGAAAGGCTGATATACCAACTGGAGAAGGGAATAAATGATAGTAGATGTCTATGAATCAATTAAAAATTAATCAACAACCACTTATATAATTAACATAGCTATTCGACAAAGAACAATGCAAGACATTAAATTGTTTTGGCTTCTCAATGTCAGGATTTCCTACCGTTTTTTTGGCAAAAAAATCTTTGTTATTTCAGGAACATTATGATTTGGACTGTTGGTCATTATTGTCAAAATAATCAATAATGAAAAGAATAATAGTTGCAGCCTATAAAAACAGCCGCTGGCGTTTCCCTCTCTCTCTCGATGCTAAAATATATTTGGTTACAATTCCTTTTAGCTGTGATATAACCTAAATTAGGAAACAGTGTGACAACTCCACTTAGCATCAATGTCCTCATAGTGCTCCTGACACATTTATTGCCTGGAGAGCAGCAGTCCCTGACATTGACATGACATTATACATTTAAGGGTGTCCCTTATGGGTAGGAACTGGGCAAAGCAAAAAAAAAGGTAACTGCTTAAATATTCATTGAGAAATAGACTGGTAAAAACGATATATATGCTTATGTTCAGACTGCTTCCTGTTAGCTGGTATTGGGACGTGAATTGAAATCTGGCACAAGAACGGATACAAGTTATAAGCCCTATGTACATCCTGTAATCTATCCACTGGTCAGGGGTCAGTACACTCAGCAGGAAATGAACGACGTAGTCAGTGGTGTAAAGTAACTAAGTACATTTACTCAAGTATTGTGCTTAGGTACAATTTTGAGGTACTTCACACGAGTATCTCGATTCCTGCTACGTTGTACTTCTACTCCACTACAATTCAGAGGTAAATATTGTACTTTCACTCCACTACATTTCCTTTATACCTTTAGTCGCGTTGTAGATGTGGATTAAGGATATAAAACATAATCACTTTAAAAACACTTTAAAAACATCCTTTAGTGACATCTGGACTACCAGCAGTAAAGAAAATAATAAAATATATGAATGCATCAACAATTATAATCAAAACATTTCGAAATGGGCCAATCTGCATCATGAGTACTTTAAGTATATTTTGATGCTAATAGTTTTACTTGAGTATCATTTTGAATCCAAAGTTACTTGTAACTGAGTATTCTTACACTATGGTATTTCTACTTTTGCTCAAGTACAAGATCTGAGTACTTCTTCTACCTATGTGTAGTGGACTTGTTATCACGTGACCATAACTCTATGCGAACGTAATAGGCTAATACTGTGTATTGACAAGTACACTGAGAGGTAACTTAACTCTTGCAGGCTGCTGTGTCAACATGAGGAAGCAGCTGTTCAGTAGGTTTAGTGTCATTTGGACAGTTGGCATAAACCTGTTGCTATGAAGAAATGTTCTGTGGACGAGTAGCTTTACAGCAGCCCGCCCAGTACACGCAGACAGGACGCTAGCTATGCCAACGTATGGCAGTTTAACCGGTTAATAACTTGTTGTATTTAACGTGGTTGCCTGTTTATCTTGGCCGCAGTGGCTGTCCTAGCGGAGGTGATAACATAACCGCTAACGTTACCTGTCAGCCCGCCTCCACCTTCTCCGTAGCCCCGTCTCCTTTGCAGTACGAAGTACTCGTTATCCTCCTCGGTGACCCATAATTTGAACGCGTTTTTCAGCAAATTCTCGTCCGGTTTGAGCCACATGTTTGAAATGTCATGGAGTTAGCAATCAAATCCACCTGACATGTCACAGTTAGCTGTAACGTAGCACAACATCAAACCCATGGACGTTTGTTTGTGTCCGAGTGCCTCCCTTCCCACGTCGACAAGAAATGCTGCCAAAGCCGCAAGGCATTCTGGGATTGTAGTTCCTGACGAAAAAGGTGGGTCCACGAGATTCATTCCACGAGACCAGCGTATTCATGAATGAAATGGGGAAAAACTGAATCATTGGTTCATTCATTTCTTATGTGTGTAATCATCATTAATTAAATAGCAAATTGTTTTGTTTTTTTCATCCAGCTTTGATATGTTTGTAATACTCCAATAGACATAAACGAAAATATGTATTTGTTATTATTACGTATAATTAGCTTTTTCTAAATCATTCAACAAACAAACAGGCTTTTTTCCACCGCCTTTCTTCAAAAAACTGCAAAATACAAGTAGCCCAGATTCAATTGAAAGCTATTATACAGCATTTATACAGAACAGTTCAAATGTGAGAAAAATATAAAATACAAAAATGTTTCAGAAAAATGTCATACATTTTATACCATTTCATTCATATACCATTATTTTAGACTACTTTTGTTGTTGGAATATATAAATAACAACTGTATACTTTGTATCTCATAGACAAAATAATCAGTAATGCCAGAGACCTTAATACCAAAGACATTTTTCTAAATATGTAACCTACGAATGTACCCTAATCTACAGATGTAAACTGTACAAGGGATCTATGATTTGCCTATGATCTTGTTATGACATCTACTGTAGTAGAAATTGCACAAATGTATAAATGAACATGAATGGTTACTCCCATGTGCAGTCATTAAAACGTAATACTGACAGACCTTTTAGAAAAAACTTGTTACTTCACGAAGGAAATGAGTGATTCACTTTCCAGGAAGTTGGAGCAATGATTTTGTTTTAGATCAGCAGTTTGAATAACTGTCACTCCTTATTGAATCCAACTAATATCGGTAGAGTGAGTTATATAGATTTGTGGTAACTCACATTATATGCGCCCTCCATACGCCATCACTCATTCACAGAGACATTTCACAAGTATTAACATTTGAAATAAAAGTAACCTTTGGGCTTTACGAGCTTAGCAGATGTATAAGAATATCCTCTCCATTACTGTTGGATGTTGTTGCTTTAAGGTGTCCCTTTATCGGAGGCATTGCCCAAACAAAAAATATATATTTTGGACCATATGCAAGAAAGCAAATGACGCCCTCTCTGACTCGGTTTATTTGTTATAACTGAATAACAGAAAAGGTTAAGTTATTAGTGCCCTTCTTCATTATTTTACAGTAAAAAGGGAAAGTCAACTTGTCACCCCCTGCTGGCACCATAAACTGGTACAACTTAATATGCCGTATCATGTGCTAATTAACTAATAAAGAAAGAAAACACGACTACAAATAAATATAATATACAACCTTTGAGCATACTTTAAAGTAGGCAGCATGAACAATGTTTGAATTGAGATTGTAGCATCATATCAGACGTGAGCCTTATTATTTCCAAAAGAGCCTTTCATTTGTCAGTACACCATGCCCTGAACTGCCATATTTCACCATGACATTTCTACCTTAAAAAGTGAATACAATAATGTAAAACATTTGAATGAATTTCTATTATTTTGACCTAAAATTAAAGTATTTGAACCTAAATCCGTTGCAGGGACTTTATGCTATTGTTTCATATTTTTGACTATGACTACACACACTTTGACTTTTTAATTATGTTTTATATTCAGCTATAATATGGGTTTTTATGATTTTAATCACATGATATACTGAGCATGGCATAATAACCATGACATACAAGAGTTACAAACGCTCCGCCTTCCTGGCCTTTTTAATTATATTTTTTGGACACACTATACAATTACTTTTTATGACTTACTCTGTATTGTTTTAACCATCAGATGATATTTGTTTTCCATGGTTTGTATCTTAACAGGTTTGTGCAATATACATTTTATTTTACCTAATTTCATTTTCAATAATTGACGGTCTGTGTGTGTATATGTATACTGTATGCTGTTAATCAGCCTGATATTTGTCTTGATTTCTTTCATTGCTTTAGAGAGGACCACGGCAGTGGTTTTGCAAGCTTTATCACATTAACTATAATTCTGATTTATTACACAATATTGAAGATCTTTATGTTGTGTTTTAGATAACTTTATCTTGCTCAGCATCACAATGGAACACACTAACTTTTCAGACCCTCTGAGCCTTTGTCATAACTTTTTGACTGAAACATTGCTATGATAAATACTCATAACGTATATACACTGAAAAAACTGTGACTTTAATTAAGTGTATTATGTCAACAGATTTCACACAACTGTATTAGGTTAGTTGAAAGCAATAATATTAAGTTGAACCAAATGTTTTATTTTAACTTAAAATGATTGCTTTCAACTAACCTACAGTCATGTGAACTCTGTTGATGTAATACATTTAGTTGAAGTCAACCTTTCCGTTTTTTCAGTGTAGAGATATCATCAGCTGCCTGAAACAGTAGCTGAATTACTTGAAAAACACTAATTCTCAGGTTTCATATCTGTATTTTGTGCCTCTAATCCGACGTGTTTCCATGCTTTAATGTTCAAAAAGCTCTTTCTCCTCTCATACTGCCTGTGCTGCAGCACCTCTTTTCACCCTCCGTCTGAAACCAGAGCCCAGTCTGCTCTGATTGGTAAGCTGGCTGGCTCTGCTGATTGGTCAACAGCTTAGATGTCCTGCCCCTTAGCCTATCACGTATAATGTGGAGCGCTATAGAAGCGCAAGAGTTACATAGTGATGTCACTATTTTGCGGACAGGGAGTTTCAGGCAGGGGGGGAACAGGGATTTTAGCCTTTGCAGACCATTAACATGCACACAGACCTATATATAACACACTATGCAGGAAAGGGAAACCCCCAATAGGGCCTCTTGAATACGATGCAGAGAAATACCTCTACACAATTAGATATAGAATGCAAGTGATGAGGACCACTTCGATCAATAACATGAAGTCATCTTAGAAAATTTAAACATTTTAATAAATAAAGACTGATGTAATATACACCATTTTGAATATACAACTACAACAAGCATACCAAGACATTTTAAATACAAAAAACTGACAGTTTGCTTTAAAAGCTTCAATTTTAGGAAGAGTGGGAGTGAGCAGGATATACAATAGCCATACATTCTTTTTAGTGTTTGTGCCAACAAATATAAAAGGCATCATGAGTGCTAAGTTCTCTGAGATGGTGAACCTAAAACTCTGAATAGTTACATGTGTGGAGTGAAGTTTCCCATAAATAGAGACAGTTTGAGGTACAGCTCGTCTGTAGCAGTGAACACACACACATGTTTTGGTTGATTTCCGGAAGGTAACAATAACAAATTAAAACAAACTCTGTAACTCAAACCAGTTCACACATCTCAGGACGACGGAACAATTACGAGGAGACAACTTCAGTATGTTCTTCAACTTGTATTGCATTTCGTGATGAGAAACAAGAGATAAATCAACATCATGTACACAAACATAAATGTTTTGTGAAAAGAGACTCAAAAAGTTGAACTAGATTCAAAAAGCATCTTAATTAGAACATATGTCAATGTTTTGTTGTGATCTTGGTAACACATGTCCCTTCAAAGCAACAGCCCCATCTAGTGGTGGGTGATGGAGTAGCTCAGCTGCAGAAGAATAATGACCTGAAGGAGAGTGGAAGTTTGACTTCACTCCCTCCCGTCATCATGTTGTTTATACTGAACAAGAAAAGGGTACCTGCAGAGGGACTGAGTGTTTACCTGACCTGAAAGAAGGACTAGAGAGAGATCTGACCGTCTAAGATGGTTAAAAAAAGTCATGGTGAGTGTTAACTCAGCACCAAACACAATGTGTGCACCACCAATACATTAGACTCAGAGCAGGGGCTGTATATTTCAGACCAAAACGAACATCAAAACATTAACTCAATCCCAATATAAATCATTATGACATGTGTACTCAAACTAATGTCCTGTCACATTTCCTTGCTTTAAAACGCCACTCAAAATGTTATCTGATCTGCGTATTCCCTGAAACAACAGCAGTCAAAGTGAACCATCAAAACAAAGACTGAACCAGGTCACATGATGACTTACAGTAGTGTAACCTACAGTACAGTAAAGTACAGTACAGGATTGTGTAGCTACATTTAGTCTAAAACAAGGAAATATTCTAACTTAAAAAAAAGCACCACAGATGTTTGTAATAGCACCAGTTGTCAGAATGTATATGAGGTGTTGTTTGGCAATGTACAGCATTGAATTAGGAGTAAAGTTAAGCAAAAGGCAAAAGAACGTCCATATTAACTTGCCCATTATGTCGTTTCAAAGCAGCATCATGACTTACATACTGTGAACACACGCTGTGAAACATTTCTCGCTGCACAGTTTGTGAAGATGATTATACATTTATATTGTTGTGCTCTGCTGTGTTAAAGATTGCAAAGGGAGCAACATAGGGAAAGATATTATCACAATTCCGTCATGCCAAAAAAATATTTAAAACAATAAAATAGCGCGAGCAAAATCACTGTCCCCCAAAAGGACAAATGAGAAGTGTGGTTCACTGAAAAAACTGAAACGTTGACTAAATGTATTATGTCAACAGATTTCACATAACTGTATTAGGGTAGTTGAAAGCAATTATATTATGTTAAAAGAATATATATTAGCTTCAACTTAATATTATTGCTTTCAACTAACCTAATACAGTTGTGTGAACTTTGCTGACATAATACATTTAATGAAAACCAAGGTTTCAGTTTTTTCAGTGTTAGATAATGGCCCACAAATAACTGAACAATTACATTTGCTATTCACACCAAATGCAGGTTGCTATAATAACTAGATTGCTGTATGTTCTCTGGGTCTCTGTGTATCAGACAGTGAGATATACAGTGGGTGCACCATTCTCTTTTGAACTGAAAAACATATTCATCTGTTATGTAAGATTCTGCATTGCTACAGTATAGAGTAACACATTGATATAAAAATTATACAATATAGACTTATACATTCGTGAAAACAAGTACTGTCACCAAATATAGATACTCAAGTAACCATTTTGGTTCCATGATAATATATTTATATCTATTTATATATATGTTTTTTTTCTCTATAATTCCTTGCTCTATAATATTAAATTAATTTCTAGAAGATTTCCATCACTCACACATAGACGTTGGTCTGTTACATCATGGTATATCACTGAAGCAGACCCTACACTACTCAGTTCACTCAGTCTTCAATATAGTTGATGTGCATCATATTTTCTTCTACAAAAAATATATATGACAAGGTAAGCTTATTTGAGATATTATTTACACAGTGTAACAAAATGTTATTTTTTTCATATCTCAAATCTGTAATGCTTTTTTTGTACACTCAGTTAGGACAAAAGTTGATACTCAATACTCCGCCGTGTTGCTATGGATACACTCATGATTTAAATGAGTTTTTCTCAAATGTAGTTTACTTAAGTCTCTGCCTCAGTGCATCTCAGTGCCAAGTCTGATGATCAAATATTTTTAAATGTAATATTTCACCAGTCTTTACATTTCTCATTATAACCAAATAAAAAACTGTGACTTTCATTAAGTGTATTATGTCAACAAGTTTCACACAACTGTCTTAGGTTAGTTGAAAGCAATAATATTAAATTGAACTTAATATATTTAAACTTAATATTATTGCTTTCAACAAACCCAACACAGTTATGTGAAATATGTTGACCTAACACATTTCAAGTCAAAGTTTCAGTTTTTTCAGTGTGGAAATAAGGAAAATAATGTGGCAGTTTTATGGATCAGATGCAGAGAACTCAGAGAGGTGAGCTTCAACATCAACTCAATATGGTTCCAACATGGAGGCAACACAAAGGTTGTAGTTGTGCAGCATGTCTTAGCACCAGAGATTCTCCTATCTATGGATCAACAGCAGTTCCACACGTCAAACGTCTGAATATCCTCAACAAAGCCATGATAAGTCTCTCCTCAAGCCTCTTCCAGCCCGAGCAGAACGTGTCCTCAGCTCAAGAATGATACAGTACTGAGATGTTCTAAAACAAATTCTCATTCTCTAATGATTGATGAAAATGTCTTTAGACCACACAAACATAACTTTTTTAAGCTACTTCAGAGTCTTCAACTGAAAATCAACACTGTTTTTTTTTTGTTTTTTTTAAAGTTACTCAGATTGACCCACTTTATGGGACATACTCTGTAGTAATTATGGGCTATTATGTACTAAGCGCAAGTCAGACTGCAATTGGACAAATAAAGCTATATGGACCACTTTCGTTTTCTCCAGACTAGTTTGTGAAGTAACACATACAATATAAATATTAAGTAATAGACATCACAGAATAGTAAAGAGCATATCTACCTCCCCTATCAACACATAGAAATAATTCTAGTTACAGCTTCAATTCAACCGAATGTATCTAACCGCAACGCATGGCAATGTGACTGTGGCAAAACTGAAAACGTGTCAAATTTGGAATTTTAAATCATTGGGTTAAAATGTTTAGGTTTGGAAAAATGGTTTAATAAAGTGACTTTAAAAGCCTTACTGCTCAACTTTAACTTGGAGCTAATCATAGTTGTTTCATTGGCTTTAGCTTCAAACACAGCCCATTGGTATCATGCTTTTCTTTCACGAATACAGAAGGTTGCTCTGGCAGTGGCCCTATTTTCCCTATTTCTGGAGCATTCAAATGTTTATACTATGCAAATAATTTATTTGAGTATACATGAACATATTCTCAGTGGCACATTAGGAAGTATACAGTACTTCAGATCTGACTTAGCCCTCAGCTTTGTTCAGACGAGTCTCATTAAAGCCCTTGGTGATGAAATAGCTCAACAGTCACACAGAGACTATTTCCCATCTTCTCTGTTTTTAAGAGTGACACTGAATTATCAGGGTTTTGTTAGTGTAATTATTCTCTACATTTGACCAAAACAAGTTATACTGTAGGACTGAACTTTCAGTATGTACAGAGCAGTGAACATTTGATTTTCCAGTGCATTTGGAAATGATAGAGGCTCATCCTGTTTATTACTTCTTACTTGGACCTTCACCGTGCTCAGAGGGACACTATAAAGTCACAGGAGCACCTAAACAGAATAAAATAGACCTTTTCCCATAAAATAATGTTGTATATTTCAGATTAATTTGTCGAACTACATGCATATCATTGGCCAATATGAACAAGAATGATTCTTTCTTTTACAACTAAGGAACAATTATAATGATGTATATTTTAGATCTTATGTCATTTCTGTCAGTGGTTTGGTTTCTTTTAAATGTGGGGTAAATATAAGATAACACTAGGTGTTTTGATACAATACAGCATGACCACTACTAGTACTCCTTATTCAGTTAGTTTTGTTATAGATAATGTTTTCTATCAACTGAGTTCAAATGTATTCAAAACATTCCAGAATTGGTAGAAAATAGTAATTGTTTTGACATTTCTTTTTGGAAATGGTCTGCTCTCAAATAGTCATTAAAATACCTAATTTGGGAAATCATTGTCAATTGATCTGAACCAAACTCTCCCTTAAGCTCCTCTATCATTCTGGAAGGTACAAAGCAAGATTTCTTGTTGTAACCATCTATGCTATGAAACGCAGGCAGCAGCACAGCCAATTCTCAATTCTTTAGATGAAAACAATCAAAGACAGCAACACAGCAATGACAGTTGTTAAAATGGAAGTGGCATTTGTAGTTATTGAAATATATACTCATTAGTACAGCTTTACTTCATGGTTTGCTTAGCACCTTAGGCTGAAGAGCAGCCTCTGTTTGACACCACTGCTCAGCACCTGATGGGATGGCCTCTCTGATATGTTTCAGTCATCACTTCACTCAGTGCCGTACGAAGCAGCTAAAAACAAGTTGCTGTCACATGGTACGGCCTCTAGGCTCGCCAGACTTTAGAATCTTTGGAAGAAGAGACTGTGGTTTGACTTTAGTAGCAGAAGTAAGTGTATTGTAAAGTTATTTCCACAATAAGTGCATTATGTTGACGTAGACACAATACTTAAATATTAGCTACCAGATGCTCCAATGCTGGAGAATGATAATAATCGTAAAGGCACAAGCTATTTAATTATAATTGCTGCTTTTTAACTACTGAAGTATCCTTAATGTATCTGTATGATGGATTCTGAACTTTATTCCAGTATGCTGGATTTGGTCATAAGCCAGTGAATTTCTGTCATGTTTTTGTCTATTAAAGAATGGTAATTGCTTTCAGGAGACACAGTTAGTATTTCCTGTTTAGTTAAATAAATAACATTACATCTCTTCTTTAATTTTCCTGAACACTGAATACCGAATAAAACATGAGGTCAGTTTTTTGAAAACCTTGACACCTCCTTTTGCAAGCAATCATTGTGGAAATATCTTAATAAAGCAACCACATTTAGTCACTTAACATGTGGTTCATATTAGAAGACTATTTTGGAGTAGGAGTGGTCAGAGTCTGCTCTACATCACAATAAAGGAATCAAACAAATAAATACATGTATAAAAAAAACACATCAATAACAGCAGAACATGGACACTGCTTTCATTTAGAATAAGGAGCCTAAGATATGAGTCCATACCCTCTACACATGAAAACAACTTTGGAAGAAATGGAGCACCTTTTGAGCAAAAATAAAAAAGTGGGCCCAATACACAGCCATTGTTTGTTGAATCTAACAGGAGCTGCTGTATGTGTGATATAGTTTAGTTCCTAATGTTATGGCACGATGTTAACTTATTCAACAAAACACATTTTAGCCCCTTAGTGTCCATATTTCCATCTCAGTTTGACAGGCAAATTCAACCATCACATGTAAACAAAACTGCCTTTACCGGTGAACAACAAAAGGTTTGTCTCACTTTGTTTTCCCTTAATGCCACATTCTTTTTTCTTAAGGGATGACACCCCTCTCAGCATCTCCATATCAAATGACAAGCACATAAAGAGTCAAATACAAAGAGGCTGGTACTCACACATGCATGCACTAATGCACAAATAAAACAATTATAAAAATGGACACAAGTGAAGCAGGTAACCAGAAGAACCATTAAGGCCGACCAAAGCCATTATTTTGGATGCCCTCTAATATATATATATGAATAAAATACTATTATATACTATGGCACAGAATCACTCCACTATGTGTTGTTCATTTTTTAATTTGACTATTTTTGGCATAACTATTCTGGATAGGATTTGGTACCCTCTACACTACCTACAGCTCACAAACTGGTGACACAAATCTGAGGAAATGGACAAGATTTTGCTCCAGTGCAAACAGTGATGAGATATGAGGAGCTTAAACGAATTGGAGCAATTAAATGGCTTCATACAGAATGACTGAAAGTAGTTGAATTACCGCTTTTGATTTGGCCTGTGTGTTACAAGTACAGTATATGTAAATGAAATGCAAAAGTACATTAAGCCCCTGTGTGATTCACTGCTGAATTACATTATTCAATAAGGTTTAAGATATATAGATAGTTCCTTCAGTACAGTAGTCCAGGGTTGTGTTTGTTTGTCAGTCCTGATCATTTACAGTAGAACAGAATGTGAAAGATCTATCATTCTGCGAGATAAACTGAATTAAATCCAAATATGGACTTCTTAGAAACTAAATAGTAGTAAATATAAGAAAGAAAAAACTGTACCATGTCGTTTTAAGAAAAGTAATTATGACTAAAGATATATAAAAAGGCTAGTTTGCTCTGCTGGCTGATCTGTGGTTGGGGGTGTCGTGTCCTGTGCTCTGAGGTATATTCGGTAGGAAGTGAGATAACACATTTGTGAGGCGAGTTTCTCGGCAGATAAACCTTGCTGGCGGAGAGGATCCGGTGGAAGGGGCTGTAAACGGAGACCGGCAGGGCTTTTTGGGGGGCAATCAACGCATGAAACGTGTTCAAATTCAAAAAGGGTAACTGGACTTTTTGTATAATTATTTGAAATGTGGACAACAGGCACTTGCCTCTTTTTTAACAAATCTTTTTGCACTGGAGTAAAACTTTGGAAAATTGTGGCAGCTATTATTTTGATTTGAATCGCTGTAGTTTAAACACATTTTTTAAAAGGGAACACTACTGGATTTAAGAATACACGTCAACCGTGTGCATTCTGTCATCCAATCAGTAGTGTTCAAATAATCCTTGGAGCTAGGACTGCATATGATGTCATTCCAATTGACCAATGCTGCTATATCACTCACGGTAAATTGGGAACAGCATTTCAGAGACAATCTAGGTTCTTGATCTAACAAGGTACAGTTGTTGTTATCACATATTTCAAATGGCAGAATGCTTACTAGTGCAGATTGAATTGACCAAGGGCATAGCTACACAATATACCAAATCTGAATGCTGAAATGTAGTGCTAGTCCCCTTTATAAACAATAAATTGCAAACATCTTTGTGTTTTCCACCTGGTAGTGATTTTGGAATGAGGGAATATTGCATGGATGTAACTGTGTCCTTATGGGCTTTCAGAGGAGGGTTGCATGGTCTAGGTCTATGTAGTCCATGCTGGCCAAAATAGCCTTCTGGTCCTCCCTCGGCGGGCGGCGGTACAGCAGAGCAGAAAAGCGAGTATACGGGTCGTGGAGGATGGGCCGTTTCTTCTTCTTGCGGAGGTAGAGAACTTCTTCGGGCTGGAGTACCTGAGAGGTGTAGGCCTGCTGGGTCTGAGAGGTGGAGACACCTAGAGGAGGGGAGATCAAAAGTCTGTCATAGCCTCAGAGACTCATGGTGCCATGCTACAGGCTGTTCTACACATTCATCCTAATGACATTACTTTGATAGTCGTTTTCTGTCCCAATGTTACCATACCTTATATTATGGCTTTCAACTTAACGTCATTTGCTGACATAATTCATTTAATTTACGTCAACGTTTCAGTTTATTCAGTGTACCTGAAATCATTAGTCTGCTTTACCACATCACGTGGTACACATCAATAGCTTCTGCAACAAAACAGGGAATTGAACAAGCACATGACTTCCCTGAAGTATACATCTGAATAAAACACATTTGGTAAGTATAAACATCACCCGACATTATAAATGATATCACCCTTTTCAGTGTTAACTAACTGCTATGCCCTCCTTTTAAATTATTGTGAAAAGTTTATTTTAATATTTTTTTATATATACTGCTCACAGGTACAGGGGGTGGGGGGCTTTGCAAACCATTTACATGCACACAAACCTATATAACACACTACAGGGAAGGGAAAACCCCCAAAAGCGTTACAGGGCCTCTTTAAATAATATCACTGTGTGAAAAGTTCAAACAGACAGGAACAGGAGTCACACCTGCTTTCTTTCTGGACTTGGAGTTATTGTTGTTCATCATCATCTTCTTGGCCTTTTTTATACGTTGGTATCTCAGTGCATCAATCCTCTCAGACCCCGAAAGGGGAGTCGGCACACCTCGATATTTTCTGGATAAAGAGCAGAGAGATGGGAAAACGGGTAACTCCAGGCCAAACGTATAGAGTGGACTGTTTCTGCACTACGGAGTGCATCAGAACCAGAAACCCACACAATCCACTGCTGTGCTAAGCAAGAGGTGCAGCACATTGCCAAAGGATCAATATGAGATAACACAACACTTTTTTTTTTAAAGTTTGGGAAGGATTTCATTAACTCTACTATTACTAAAACATTGTACATCATCTGGATTTGATAAAAGTTATGTTAAGATAAATGATGACTACATTTCACAAAATACAATACAGTCATAAATCCAGATGGTACATTGAATTGTGAACCTTGAACCACATTTCCCTCTCAGATATCTTTCTCAAATTGATCCAAAGAATCTCTACCAAAAGTAAAGCAAAGGGTTAGACGACCCCCGAGACCATGTACCTCATGGTGCAGACTAGAACAGTGAGAAACATTTTTTTTGGAATGTACAACATTTAAAAAAGATTTGCACTGTTAGTTTCAGAAAAAAGTTTGAAGAAAAAAAGAATATTTTGGACGAAATGTTAGAATGACTTTTTAAAATTGCTGACATGTTTGCAAATTGATTGAATTAGTTTTTTAAATGATTATATCCCCTTCTGGAAATAACAGATGCAAATGTGTCATTGGTTTCGAGTGTATATTCCTCAGCTGCTCATGACTGCACAGAGCTTCCCCCCATTCATGGAGAAACTTATGACTTGGCAGCCCACAGACTTCTGCCACACACACACTTGGTTCTCTCAAGGCACAGAAAACAATAAGCATTACAGAGAGGCCATCTTCCAACCGTGGCTGCAGAGAGAAACCGAAGGTTGTTAGTAGAGGGGGAGAATCACAGCTGAGCAACAAAGCATCATCAATATGTATTCATAGACATGGGTACTGTCTACAATGGGCTTCACCATGCTGACAGGGGGAGAGATGGCGGGAGGGGAAAATGACTACTCGGGAACAGTCACATAATGAAAAATAAGCCAAAGAAAAGCGAAGCACTAGGACAACAAATGTAACAAGAATTTATCCATATAATTGTTTCTTTTTTTTGGAAACGAAGGAGCAATATTTAGCGATGGCATGCATGGCAGTTTGCACATGAAACACGACTTTAAAGGGGAATACATTCAAAAGCACTGGGCAGTTCCTTCACACATAAAGGGGGTCTAAAGCCCCCTGTGTGTCCACCCTCTGCAAGCCCTTGGCAAAATGTTTGTTCCTCAGGAAAAAAAGAAGTGCGGAAGCTGTTTTAGCTGGACACCTGCTTTACATGGTAGTGAGGAACTGTTCTGCAGTCCAAACTTAACAAGGGCATTTGTACACTTACAGTAGATGGTTTGATTCGTGCTCTATACAGAAGCTTTATACCTGGCATTAATGCTATGTGTCCACCAGGAATCTCCTTCTACTTATCCAGGCTACAGATGCTTGCGGGAAGTGCTGGTCAAGACTCCTGCTATTGCTCTCGTTCTGTTTAAAACCTGCTATACCTGATACATTTTAACAAAGCCAAGGATGTTCCTTAACTTCTTGAAACTACTGCGCTGAGAACACATGCTAAGCTTTCATCACTGCCAGGAACATGCAACAGCATTTCTGCCCTTAATGTTAATGCAAAATATAGCTCTGAATGATCGCTCCCAGTGGACACACAGCTTAAGTTACTGTCGTATCGTAAATCTTACTAAATATTTCTCAGAGATTGAGTACCAAAATATATTCAATTGGTGTCATACAATACAAGCATCTGTAAAATATAAGTGATCAAATGTGTCACGCTTGAGGAGAATGCTAAAAGTGATTTGGAAACCTTTTATATGACAATAAACAATGTCAATGTCAACGTAAACATATACTACCCTTTGATAAATACACATAATGCCACACTACAGAAAGACACAAGACACCAACATAAATTGGTGACCATACCGGTTAAGAATATCATATTTGTTTGTAATAAAGAAACATTGTAAAAAGCATTACTTGGATGTATCCACATCTACTACTGTATACCTATTTGTGCAGCCATGTTACTTGTTATTTCTTCATATAGGAAGTAATATGTGTTATAGCAACCTTTATTATTAGCATTACTCTTTGCTGTCCTTTGGCCAGGGTTAAGGGGTGGATGAATTTGTTCCTCCAAATCCCTACTAGGCTCATCTTATGACCGGGCTAACCAGGGACTGATGAATGTCAGTACAACATCTTGCTAGATAGTGAGTCTGGGGACTAGCATTATGAGTAAAGCGCTAACCAATCATCTAAGGCACAACCAAAGGCGTCTGTGTCTGGCCTACTGGATAGCACACACGGTTCTCTGATAGTTGATAACAAAGACTAAAAGCTTTCTGCGAAAGTGACCGCCTCATTGTCATCCTTGACAATCTCTTTGGCAATCAGTTGAGTTTTATAGTGGCGAGGGAGCCCTCTAAGACGGCTAGGCTAGAGCTGCATACTGAGCAGTAGCATATAAGAAATTGGACAAGATTAAGAAGAAATTGATTCCTTCCTGAGGAAGACGGCTGAATTGGAGAGATGGCTTATCACTGGGCTAAAGAAAGGGCGAGGGGCCGTGCGTTTGCTAACAAAAGCCATCGCCATGACATAAGCAGATAACAATGAATGAATTATGAAAAAGCAGGACATATAACCCAAACATTATACTCCCAAAATGGAGTGGGCAAAAGAAGAAGGGACTATCCACAATTTGCATTGATTTAAGATGCACTGAGGTATACACCAATTTCCCCACCCATCAAAGGTTTACTACCATAGGTCTGTCTCATGTTGCTGAGGCAGTTGTGCATTCAAATAAATCAGGAGAGTATAGTGCTTGTACATTTTAATATCAACCTACATTACACTTTCAAGATTTTAAATCATTTTTGGAGAACTGTTTAGGGGCGTACATCTGTATAAACAACGGTTTAACTGTTGGCGAGTCAAACCCGTAACACAGACAGCTTCTTACGGATTATCTGTATGTAATTCTGAACATTAACATATGAGCAAAATAAGGAAAATGCTTTGTATCCAGGCCAGCTGGGCGTACATGTGAATATTTGTGTGGTTGTGACTCTCATCCAATGCTTTGGATTAGCATTGTAGGCCTTGTTTGCACTGTTCACAATGTTTGCTGCCAGTAGCAGGCTAAGACATCGCCACAAGGACGTAATTACTTTATTCAAAGATATGCTCTGAATTCTGTGTAGAACACTTCTAAGTGTGGATTTATCTCTAGACCAAAGTTGCAGAAAGCAGATGTAAAACCATTTGATTGGAGTGTAATCCAGCCTGGCCAGGGACAGATGTGTTCTGTAGCTCCTGCACTAAATACTCTTCTTATATCTAAATATGTGACCTTTGCTGAACTTATTTTCAGAATAGCCAACTAGGGAGACAATACATTCTTGAATACATATTTGAACTGGTTTGATGCTGATTACTGTTATGTTGTCTTACTTATGGGTGATTTGTCTATGAACATAGTCAGTTAGCAAACCACTCAAGCATGAAATCATGTTGGTGATACATCTCTGACCTGATCTATTAGCTATGATGGCATATGCATATCAAAATGCATAATGTACTGAAGACTATGGAACTTAAAATGCATAGCCACTTTAAAAAAAGAGGAAAAGGAAAGAACTGAAATGAACTACATGTGTTGACTGAAGTAAGGAACACATCAAACAAAGACTTAAAGTCTAGTATTCCCCTTTAAAGGACGAGGTGATCAAAAAAGTCCCACCTGCTAACCCCCCCCTTTCAGACATGGATCCAACCCTTACCTATTGCTGTGTAGAGGACCTGGTCACAACAACGCTGCCCAGATAGCTGAGATCAATCAAAAACAAAGCAGGTAAGACTCCAGGAGCCATCAAGAACCACCATACTGGCCCTACTTGATAATGATGGAGACATTGCAGAACATGAGAAGCGGACAGGCCCTGTGACACACATTGCCCAACAACCTTTCCTTGGTAGTCAGACCTGGGGGTGTCCTTGAGGCAATTGAAGGAGTTGGGGAGAGGAAGGTTACAGAAAGGGAAGGATAGGAACAAATCTGAGAGGTTGGAAGGTGAGGGAGAATTGGTCATACAGTCAGGTTACTAAGGCCGAGGATGGGCCGCAGGGCCTGCCAGGATGAACTCTTCTTAAAGCAACCATCTGCATGATAAAGGCATCTTCAGAGGCTTGGAGCTAGACATAACAATGGGTGCTTGATTTGTCTGGGGAATCAATTGGATGAATATTATGGGATTCCTCCTGTTAGGTGAAAGCAGGGTAACGCATGATACAGATGGAAAAACAGGGATCCTGTGGTGATGTCTGCAAATTCCCAGTATTTTAGGGGCTTGTGCCAAGACATTACACAGTGTACCGTCAATATCATTTTTTTTAAGCTGAACTGTAGCCCCAAACATTCTGAAATGTAATCTGTGAAGCAACTGCATTTTTCTTGCCAATTCAACAAATAAATCATGGCCCAATTTTCTTTTTGTTTTAAGTAGGAAATGGAATGTTTTTTAAGGTGATACCTTTGAAATGATGCTTCACAGATTCAATGGGTGAATACCTCTAACTTGATGTCTGAAATGGAAAAGCAGCATTGACCAAATTGGAACTTAACTGAACCTCCATAGTTGGATAATCACAATTAAATGAAAAATGACTTTCAATATACAGTTGTCATTTTTCACATAAAAAGTGATTAGAAATGAAAAAACAACAATATTTGAAGCAACTTAACTATCAATCTAATTTGCTGCAGAGATGATTTAAAAAATGATTAGATATTAGACATCACTTCAGTAACCAAAATGTCAGAGCAGCTTTACACATTAAAGCATTATGGGTTGGGGCAGATGACTCATATGGTATCCCTCTCTGCATGCCTAATGCACCTACCCTGAAGCTGACAACTGGGGTGGAGAGGGCTCAGATGGAAGAATCCCCTCCTCAGTCCTCCTCTGAGATGGCATCTGCCCAAATATGTTGCTGCTTTCCATGGGGGGTGACGGGGACTGGGAAGCTGGGTAGCTGGATGCAGAAGTGGCAAAGGCTATGTGGGAACGGTAGCTGGGACTGGCTCTCCTGCTACCCTGGCCATGGTGGGCAGGTGAGGAGGAGGGGGAAGATCTCCTTGAGAAGCTGGCTGTGGAAGGAGGGAGGAGGGTAATCTCAGACATCTCTGGTGGTATGCGAGGTTGGACAATGTTGGGACGTGGCCTGGGACGTACTACAATCTCTGGGGAGCCTTCGTGAGAACTAAGCGGGCTTTGGGTTAGGGGGGAGAGTCGGGAGGGCTGGAGGACCACCTGATGCATTCCAGAATCCACCCTACAAGCCTGTCTAGGACTGAACCGAGGGGTGGTTTCAAACCATCGCGTGTCAAGGCTACTGAATGCGCTTGGTACAATATGGGCCATTGGATCGGGGTAAGGCAAAACCGGCACACCCATTCCGTGGCTTGTGTGTCTTAGATGCCCAAAGTGTGCCTCTTGCATAGCTCTATGCTTGGCTGGGGAGCCACGAGGCTTGGCCTTGCTGGGAGACCTAGTTGAGCGGCTCTTTGGGGCCTCCAGTGGCAGGACAGCTGGGTAGGTAGGCATTGGAAGGGAGGGCTGGAAAGAACTTAGGGGAAGAACATGAGGTGGAGGAGGATAGGGGGAGTCGTGGCGGAGATGCAAAGGGTGGTGTGGCGGGAAAATGAACTGGGGACCCTCCAGACTTGCAAAGGTGAAATCCAGTCCCTGCCAAATCTCGGGTGTACGAGAGGAAGAGGTGATAGTCAGAGGAAGTGGGAAACCAGGGACAGCATATTGAGGAAAATCACCCTCCCTGCATTCTTCAGGAATCATGGGGTGACCAAAAGGACCTTCAGCAAGGTAGGGAGGGGAGGACATGACAGAACTGAGTGGGCTAGTATCAGTCATGTAAAAAGGAGGTGGGGGGTCATGATCCCCAGGGTGGCCTAAATAGCCATAGAAAGCCCTGTGGTGGAGAGAACCTCGGATCTGCCCCGTGGCCTGGAGCCGGCTGCTCTCCATGATGGTCATACCTTCGAAAGGCCTCTGGAAACGAGGGCTGTAGGCTGGAGGTTGCAGGTAGGATTCCTGGCTGGAGATTGGGGAAATCTGGTGAGGCCGTAGAGGGGCCATAACTGGGGGCATAGACCTGGGATCATCATTTTCCTCGTCTGACTGCCGGAATTCAGGATAGTGGTCTGATTCTTCCACAAAGGGGAAGCCCTCAATTCGCCGGGGCTTTACAGACATTTCTGCAACAGTGGGATCTATGACAAAGCGTCCATCTGGGCCTCGGCTGATGAGTTCAATGGGTGATTCTTCAGCTTCATGCTTGGACATGCCGTATTTCTTGCTTGTTATTGCTCTTTTGGTCTTTTTGTATAAAGACAACTCCTCCCTCTTCCCTGTAACTGTGGATGGTTTCTTTCCCGAACGTTGGTCATGACTATCTTCAGATGATTCTGACGGAGATGCCTTTGAACGAATGCTCTCCGGGCTCAACTTTCCTGAAGATGACCTAAAGAAAAGAACACAAAAGTGAATCTTTAAATGCTCAAATAGCCAGTAAAGCTTTACTGATGGTGCTGAAAACAAATTCAGCCACAATTTAACAAAAATGACAACAGACCATACACAAGAAGATGATATATAAAAAACATAGATGCCATTAAAAACATCAGTGACAGTTGCACTCCAGTTACAAGACTATAGGCGCTTTCACACCGGAGTACTTTTCCCAGGAACAGTTCCGATAGTTCTTGGGATTTTGCTTTCACACCAAATATATCTGGAACTAGAACTTAGTTCATGCAAACCTTTTCACCCCTTTTCAGTCCCTGCTAGAGAGCAGAGACTTTCCTGGGGCGGAAAAGGTTCCAATTTCTGATTGGCTGGGCGAATTGCAAACCACGCCCCGTAACACTCCGAAAAGTTTTGTGAAGCCGCCATTTTATTTGCTCGCATTAGCATTATTAGCATTAGCATTAGCCCAGCGCACCAACGGAGAGAGAATAACTTATGGCAACACAAAATAAAACATGGGAGCGGTGGAGATGAGGAGGTGTCGGCGCTTCTGGCGATTTACTCGGAAGGCTTCAGTAGAAGCTGCTGGGCGTCCCAGCAGCTTCTACTGAAGCCAGTCCCCAACTCCAGGGACTTCGGGTGGAGATTTACTGCCACCCGAAGTCCCGGAGTCAGGGGGGCTCCGGGACTTCAGGTGGCAGTAAACGCCGTGAAGTTGTTTGCTGCCTGCCAGTAAACCCAAAGCAGAAGAAGAAGAAGTGACGTCAGCGGCTTCATTTGCGTAATCCTCCCTCAGGGACTTATTCCGGTCTGAACGCGATTTATTAGGACAGTTCCGGGACTAAAGAGTTCGGCGGGACTAAGTACTGGGAACTAAGTACGGCAAAGTACTTGGTGTGAAAGCGGCTTATGACTCCTACCTCAAATATTCTGTTTGATTCTGAGTCATTAGCAGGGTCGGCGTCATGGGGGGTCATTCGCGGGTTATGCCCCCCCAAATGAGTCACTGTGCCCCCCCAACGCAGGGCAGGCAAGCCTTGCCACTTTGCCGTTTTTTTTTTTTTTTTAATCATATAAGTGAAAATGTTTCCACTAAAAGTTTTTTGTGTGAAATAAATCAGAAATAAAGAATACAAATATAAAACACTGCCTGAGGTGTGCTCACTGCTGCTCTCTGATTGGTGTGTTGCTTGACCAATGACCCCCGACCTTTGTTTTGTTATCATTACGTGGCTGTGTGTTTAGATGAAAGCCCAGTGGCGATCTGTTCATCTGTTATACTGATTATACAGTAAAGCCATCGAAAATAATATGATATACAGTACAGTACAAGTACTTCTGGGTCTCTGTGTGTCATTCAAGCTCGGCTCTGTGTGTGTGTGTGGCACAAGCGCATTTTGTGAGTGCGCGAGCGGTAACGTGGAATGTTGTTGTTAGCATCTGGTTAGCTAGCTATGCTAACGGATATAAAGAGCTGTTTCTACACCAAGGTGGAGTCCTCTCCTGTCAGACTGAGAGGATCTTATAACGTCAGCTCAGTGAGGTAAAGGACTCTCTCAGTGTTTAGATAGTTAACTTTAGTGTAAGTTATCTCAGTGGGTCTCAAACGGTTTGGTCACCATTTATCTAAACAAGTATTTGCGAGGAACACCTTTATATGATCATTATAGTTATTAAAAAATAAGAGAATAAATGAAAAACAGGTATGAAATACTATAGGACAGTAACACAAGAATACAGTTTAAAAGGGGAGTGATTAGTCAAATATCCATAAAGAAAAAGTACATCTGTTTACAGTTCTGTTTCATATGGATGTTGAGAGATGTAGGCTATCCATAGATCTCTTAATTTTGCTTTCAAAGTGCACCAGAGTGATGCATTTAACTTCAATATTTAAAAAAACATGCCCCCGGACCCCCCTAGAGGAGGTTAGGTCCACCCCCCACCTAAAACATGTTCACATGGATAGGAAACTAAATACATTTGCACACTTTTTATATGGTGGCCTATGTCCATATGTTTCTGTTTTGGTGGTCGTGCCACAACCGTGCATGATTGCACAAGTCATAGGTGCGCTATAAAATAGCACTACACCCCTGCAATGTGTGTGAAAGACAATAGACTTTACAGCATGTTTTTTGAAATTGAAGTTGCGTTGGTGTTTGTGTGTTGGTTGTTGACGGCAGTGTGTGACCCCCCATGGTAAATGATTGCCCCCCCATTTGATTTGTTCTAGAGCCGACCCTGGTCATTAGTAAGCAAAGATATCCTGCAAAATATGTTTTCTGCAATCAATACAATTAAGAATGAAAAAGAACTAGAAGTAAATAGTCCGGTTTTTTCATTGTTTGCTATTTTCAACATCTTTATATAATGATAGTCTTGAACATGAAAATACCTTTTGGGAAATTGAGATGAATAATGAGAATAATTAGTGAGTTATGATAATAATGACTTGATTACTTATTTTATTCAACATTATTTTGCATACTGGCCATCTACTGTAAGCATTGAAATGGGACACATACTGTACCTCTTTAACCCTGTCATTCTATATTCTCACTTTAATTGCATTTTCAATTTTATTTTGAGGAAAACATTATTAGAAATATTTTCTATGAGATTAAAACCAAGCCATTAGAAACCCTTTAGTAGAGGTTGTCATATATATCAGAGCATATCTCTGAGTGAGGCATTGCCTCCACACAGCTCCGACATGGTGAAGCTTACCATGCTTCGAGCACGTTACATCTATATTGTTGTCTAGGCAACACAGCATTGACTTTGTGTTTCATATGGGACCAAACACCCGTCTCTTGGACAGTCTGACCAACCTATCCATCTCAATGTCCTTCAAACACAGACTTCCGCACACTGAAAATAAATGTTTCTATGGTAGGCTACTTCAAAAAGTCTGAATTTGTATGGGAATGTCATTTTTACGACACCAGGATGCATAGACACATACACCAAAGGATGATACACTAAATGGACCAGTGTGAACATCTAACATACAATTTATTCATCCCATGCATTTCCATTACAAACAAGACAAAGATAAACAACAATAAACAATAAACTGTTACACGTGCAAAGAGCCTTTCACTCTAGCTATCTGAATGATAAAATAGTTGGTCAATGATGCACTTCAACTGTTGTATTTCAAAGTGGTTAGAAGAGTGCAAAGAAATGACCAAAAGCCAGTGCTGTGTGGTGTAATGTGGGTTCTGGGAGTGGTTAATACACAAAGTAAGTAGAACCTCCAAAACATATGATTACCAAGGTTTCTGTGAAATAAAAAATACTTTGTAAATATTATTCCTAATGTTCGTTCTTCTAAAAAAGGAGCATGGATATGCATATGGATATAAACACCATCACACAAGTATGTTTCCTTCAACAATGGCTTTAAAATGAAAGTGTATATTTCTGTGTGGCACACGTTTAGTTAATATGTGAATATGCCAACTATTGCTTGCTGTGTCAGCGCTGGAAGGAAGACTCATTTTGTGTCATGTGCACTACTTGATGATTTGGTCAATAGTTCAGCGTGGCGAGTGTGATGGAAACCTCTGAAGCAATGGAGACGAGACTCAGAGAGACACGGGGAGAGCTGGAACTTTGATGGCAAACACTGATGGTTTATTATGGAGTTACGGCCGGAGAATTCACAAGACATGAGCTGCCGCCACGAGGTGACACAGCTGTTGCCAAACCAATTCTGAAGATCTCTACCCCAGAACCATGTATTTAGCTAGTTCTGAGAGAATAATCAACATTGTGCATATAAGATAAAACAGGCAAAAGCACTATAACACCTCTATCAGCTGACGCCAACTGGCAGGAACAGGGAGACAAAACACTGAGAGCACAGCAGCCTAAGGTTGTGCTCAGTGAGGGCAGTACAAACTGATCAACTGGGTCAAAGGTATGGGCCTAGGAAAATATTTCCCTGCAGCGAGGATGGAAATTGTCAGACGAACTTTCTCCAGTCAATCTGGGAGTCAGTCTTGGGAGGAACAGCTTTCTAGATCGCAGGCCGAAAAGTAAGTATCCATGATAGTGTCAAAAGAAAAAATGTCAACAATGTAGCATTAGAATTGAGCTATGAAAGGCTGTGGTGTTATGTCTTTCTTGAACAGGCCTCTCACACGGAAAAAACACTGTTACATATAATAGATATTCCAGCTATGTTTCAAATGGCTGGGCAATGGCTGCTCAGTTATAGTTTATGTGGCTACATCTGATTTATTAGGCTCCAATGACAATAAAATATGAAGTGGCTTGTTTTCATAAACCGCTAATAATAATGTAAAATATTCAAATAAATCACAACAACTATGGTTGTCTTTAACTCTGCTCAAAAACAGCTCATACAATGTAACAATTAAAACAGGTAAGGTGACCAGGTTTGTGTTCAATAGTTGGTACTTAATCTTTACAAGCTAAGAATGAAAACTTATAAACTAAACATTTTCTTTGAATTGAAAAAGGAAGATTAACAGGCAGAAGAGAAAATGTGTCTGTGACAGCATTTGGGATAAGAGAGGGATAAGAGAGAAGACATTCAATTCAAAAGGGTGACAAAATGGTTCAGGCCACTTGGAGGGTGAACAGTGATTCAAAGAGTGAGAAAGGACGGCTCAATGCGGTTACATAAACAGCTCAAACCTCAGATACGGCACAATGCACAAGCAGAGTGCTATAAAAAATGCAGAAAACGAGGATTATGTTAAAGGGAAAGGTCTCTTTGATATTTTAAGAAATGAATCACCGTTACAACAGTGAAGGATCATTAGTCTGATTGGAGTTGACTAATGCTGCGTTCACACCGGACGCGATGCGAATATTCGCTTCGCTCTAATCGCTCGAGTTTCACCGCGGCTGCCAGCTGTGTTTACTCGCATCATTCAAACAAGACGCGCTGGCTCGGGAGCTACAACTACAACAAAATGAACATATTTTACCGTGATTAAATTGTAATACACGTTTCTA